TTCTCGCACGGGAACTCGGGCGAGTGCGACATGGCAGCCTTGAACCCGGTCTTGCCGCAGATCACCAACCCGCCGAGCCCGGCGATGTTGAAGCTCAAGCCAAACTCCCTATCAATGAGGTTCACGATCGGGCGGCAGACTTCGTCGCGGCATGTGTTGACGAGCGCGATGCAGTTGTCGCGGCGGAAGCCGAGATTGCGGAGCTCCTCCGCGACCGCGTGCATGAACGTCTCCTCCTGCATCGCGTTCGGAAACGTCGCCGCCATCGTCGCCAGCGCGGGCGCCGCGGCGCGCCTCGCGTGCGCCACGGGCGCGGAGCTGGCGGCGGCAGCGGGAGCCGCCGCGGCCGGCGCCGCCGGCTTGTTGGTCAGGAGCGCGAGCGCGGCCCCGCCGACGACGCCGGCACCGATGATTCCGGGGACCAGGAGGCTGTTCTCAGCCGCGGGAGCAGGCGCCGCCTGCGTAACGCTGGCGAAGAGAGTCTGCGACGAAGCCTCGGCGTCGTTGTTCGCGGACGCGGCGGCTGCGCGGACGACTGAGTGGCGGGAGCACTTGCAGTTGCGCGCGCAGGCGGCCTTGGCGGCGGCCTTCACGGGGGCAGCGGCGCGCAGGCCGGAGAAGGAGGGGATGGCGCTGGAAGAAGTCATTGACTCTGTTTGACCGAGCAGAGCCGCAGGATTCCTCGCGGTCAATGTGTGAGCGCTGATGGTGGCCATTGCAGCAGCTGACGAGCCTGCGAACTGATTAGATAGGCGAAGGAGGCTGCTGAAGCTCTACACAAGGGCTTGGCGAGGAATCTTTGCTTTGCAAAGCACGAGAAGTGATGAAAGAATCAATGAGCAATTAGTGTGATTTAGAAAAGGCCAATGCTTGACATTTACAGTTTCCCTGTCAGGCTCATCGCTCTGTCTCGCCTTGGTGCTTGCTTGGGTAGGTGATAGGGATGGGAGGAGGGCCCAGCCAGATCAGAGGCAAGGCTTTTGCGTTGTGTGGTGTAATGGTGCTAATTTTCCTTGTTGAAATTTCGGGCGTTGGAGGAATGAATGAATGAAACCAGGAATTCTGAATCCCCTCGGAAAACGGCAGTGTGCATACAGAACGTTCGGCGCGCTTAGCTGTGCAGTTTGTGATGCCCACCAATCAACGAGCAAGCGACGGCCCTCTGAACCTGCCCTTGGATTCGATCGTTTATCATCGTCACTATGGTTACCAATTTCGTGTTTCTAGAGGTCTGCATACGTGGAGCTCCAGCTGTCCACAACTTTGTGGCTGTTAGAGTTGGAGAGGTTACTGGGTCGAAGCCTCGTCATCCATATAGAAATACACCTCAGGCCATCCTTTGTGGCAACCCCGATGTGGATGCTGAACCTACTCCAAATTTGGCGCCAGATTTTCCTATGATCCTTGTCAGATGACCCTGCTGGGCTGGACTTGCATTGCCAGCATCAATGCGGCTCCAACTGAAAGTGCAATACCAAGCAAAATATTGCCACGAATTTCAACATTGATTTCGGAGTCCCGAGTCTAGAGGGCTTCATTCAGACTGAGCTACTCGACCCTGAGAAAATAATTTTCGCGCCTAGCTGTGTGCTGCCATGCTATCGCTGGACATTTGTATCAACGACGAGGAATTCATCAGCAGAGACTATCAATATTGTTGCTATTTTCCTGAGAAACGTAAACATTCTATTGTCATGGAAATACTGGTTCTTATTCATTGGCACATAAAGATACATTGAACAACATCAAGCCCGAAGTGCTCACGAGCAGTCAAAGAGTCAACGCATCCCTGGCTTCGTCAGGACGCGAGAAAATGGCAGAAACAGCTGAAGTCGTTCAAGAGTCGGTGCAACTAGTTGTCGGAGAATAAGTCGGCAGGCACGGACTTGATGGCGGTGATTTGGTTGATCTCCGTGTGGAGAATGTGCTTCTCGCCGCGAATAACGGCGTACATGGCATTGGGTGCGATGTAGTCGCAGGTGCGCTCAATGCGGAAGGGCTCGCCGGGAATCTGCATAGAGGGACACGCAGTCTGGGTCAATCTCGACGTTTTGAGTTTGAAGATATTTGTTTTGCGAGAATTTCTATTAAATTGTGTGAGCTTCACGGGGGTACTAACCTGATCGCCAGAGTGAATCTGCACGCCGGTGATAACGGCGTAGTCGGCAGTAGTGGTATCCACCGTGAGAGAGATGAGATGTTCCAGGTCGTCAGTGATTGCTTGGAGCGCGGCCCTGGTGACTTGGACCAGCGACGGGCCGTCGGAAGGAGTCGAAGACGGCTTGACGCGAGCGATGATCTTCTTCTTGAGAGACACATACTCGGCATTATCGGGGTCCTCTTCCACGGGTCCGCCCGCCTGTATGTCGCCCTTGATGGCGATCAGCGCTCCGCACGCGCTCGACGGTTTCCCGCGCCCGCGCCGCAGTAGAGACCCCACCTCGCCCGACTCACCGATCGACACGTGGGGGAACCCGAAGAAAATGTCTGTTAGCAGGGGGCCGGGGGGTAAACGGATTTGTTTTAATTGTCAGATTTGCATCAGAAAAGGGGACGCCGAATTCCACCATTTTTCAGTTGCATTGACTGTACTTTAATTGTTTACACTTTCGTTCAACAAGTTCACCTCTTGAGTCATATTGGACTTACATCTTTCGCGTGGCTTGCCGTCGGTTTCGCACGGGAACTCGGGCGAATGCGACATAGCCGCCTTGAACCCCGTCTTGCCGCAACTCACGAGTCCTCCCAGACCCGCGATATTGAACGACATGCCGAACTCCTTGTCGATGAGGTTCACGATCGGGCGGCAGACTTCGTCGCGACATGTGTTGACGAGCGCGATGCAATTGTCGCGGTTAAAGCCAAGGTTGCGGAGCTCCTCCGCCACCGCTTTCATAAACGTTTCCTCCTGCATCGCGTTCGGGAACGTCGCCGCCATCGTCGCCAGCGCGGCAGGCGCCGCTCGCTTCACGAATTTCGTCGCCGCGCCGTTTGTGTAGCTGGAAGTGACAGCAGCAGCGGCGACGACGGCCGGAGTAGGAGGGGCGGGTTTTGCGGGTGGTGCGGCTTTCTTTGAAAGGAGAGCAAACGTAGCTCCTCCGAGGAGTCCTGCAGCGAGAACGGCAGGGACGATGCTACTAGCAGAGGAAGCAGGAGGCGCAGCCGATGGAGCGGAAGTCCGTGCCACGCTGGCAAACAGCGCTTGCGATGACGTGGCGACATCGCTAGTTTCGTGCGAGCTGCTGCTTTCGGAAGCTGCTGCTGCGCGGACGGCGGGATGGCGCGAGCATTTGCAGTCGCTGGTGCACTTCTTTTTTGCGGCAATTACTTTCGCTGGGACGAGCGTGCGGAGACCAGAGAACGTGGGAATGTGCGACGGGGTGGAAGAAGCTGAGGTGAATTCACCCAAGATGCTGGCGGAACTCTGAACGACTAGAGAAGACGAGCTGAGAGCAGCCATATTATAAGGTGGTTATTAGCGCCTAGTGGATTTTGGTGGCTATGGGTTTCGTAAGCACAGGTAGAGAATCTTGGAACAACTAAAATTGCAAATCCGTAACATGCACAATTGAACTTTATAAAGCACCAGCATTCCTCTACGATGGACGTTGCCGGAACCGAGCCGCCCAAGTGACGCCTGGGGTTGGCTGGAATGTGTGTGGAGACGAAAGGCTGCTGAAAGCCAGCTGTGCATACAGTTTGGTGAGTCATCACTGTACACATTTGGAACGTTGACATATTCACGGATTGGGAAATGCATGCCACGTGGGATGGTCATGTGGCTCTACAAGCTCATGTACATCGCCCTTGCTTCTGGTGAAAGGTGAGGAATGGGAAAATCAGTAATGCATAGGTTGTGAGTTCCTTGCTTTCATAAACTATGTGGCCCTTTCAGTTCTCATGAAGGATATATCCATCACAACAGTGTGAGTTTGATCAATTTTCACGTCCAACTTTTGAGCATATCAGCTTATCAGTAATTTCCTGCTGAGAAATGTTTTTTTATTAAATTTCTAAACGTTTGTCAATAGCTGTGACCCTGTTTTTATTTTTGTTCTAAAACTAAACCATGATACTGGTATATGTAGTGCAATTTGAGTTCGCTCATTTAGTTGCACTGGTAACACTAGTCTAGGTTCGCTTGGCAGTTCCGTGCATGCGAGAGGATCTCGCCGAATCGTTGAGCAGTGGCGAGTCATCTGCCGGAAGGTGTGTGCAAACGAGTGGCGAGCTCATTACGGTAACCAGCACTTCTGACAAACCGAAAAGTGCGCAAGACATCTGCTTTGCCTCAACGTCTCTCCAATCTGGACTCCCACTTTCCCCCAGCCTCGAATCTTCCCGCAAACCTAGAGATCTCCGCATGAAGTTCCGCCATCACGTTTGTACCCGCAACGCACAGCCGCGGGGTGGTTGATGCGGGAGAGGGACGGGGAAATGGACCGGTGGGGGAACCTCGCGCCACTTGTCGCACCAACACCCCGCCAGGAAGCCCCTCAATGCTGTAGAGCCACACTGAGCACCCAGCCGTGCCCCTGCTTCCCCCCGTTGTTTCCCGCCGAGCCGATACAGTCATCGGCAATCTCAATGTTGGTTCGTCATTCTTGAAAGCTAGGCTGCAACGACCAACCAGTATTGCACCAACAACTCACTTGACAAGCGTGGCATAGTTCTTAGTAGTCAGATGATGAGCCAGTCACGATAGGCGATACTCGTACTTTATATCTCAGCACGGAAAGTTATCGATACTATCGCTGCATTTTCGTTAGTGTCCCGGCTAGAAACTGCTAACGAGTGGTTTCGTAAGTTGTTGCTGGCCTAAGTTATGTTTTCCCCAACGTAACCCTAGTTTCTGGTAGTCGTGGTACCTTCCATTCATTTCCAGGTTCCCTAACGTCGTTCCGATCACTATATTCGTTCTAACTTCTAATCCTGCAGGTAGGAACCGCATGAGAGTTAGTTTATTTTTACCTTAATAATATCCTACGTCTATTTTAACAATGGCTGAAGCCGAAGAGGAGGACGATCTTGAGGTTCCCCTCGAGTTCATTTGTCCCTTATCCGACGACATAATGCGCGATCCAGTAATCATCGCATCAGGACTTAGCTACGAGCGCGATCTGATCAAAGTATGGTTCGCAGCAGGCCGGCGCGTCTGCCCTAAAAGCGGCATGAAACTCGACCACACCGAGTTCTTCCCCAACGTCGCTCTTAAAGCCCTCATCGCCGAATGGTGTGAGAAACACGACCTCGATCTCGCGCCTCTGCCGGAAGGCCTCGAGGAGGAACTAGCCGCGCAAGTTCGCGCGCAAGACGAGGAAGCGTCTCCGACGTCGTCTAGCCGCGGCAGCCCCGGCGGGAGAGGCGGCGGCGGCGGAGGATACAGGGATGGCCCGAGACGGAGCCGACCTGGAGATGGCTATGATGACGCGGTCGAATCTCAACCGTACGTGCAGCGGTCCGCTAGCGCGGGGAGCGGGAGGCGGAGGGGACCGGGCGATCGAGAGAGGGACGATGATAGCGGGTCCGATAGGGGGAGTGGACGGACCGGATCGCGTACGCGAGAGGCTTATAGCGAGGACGAGGACCGGCGGGGCAGGGGGAGTGGCGGAGGAAGGGGAGGTGCCGGAGGTAGTCGACTGCAGCCGCGGAGTGAGGAGGAGCGGAGAGCGCGCACGGGGCGTGTGGCGGCGCAGCTGCTGTCGCGGCAACGGGGGAGAGGGGGAGGGGCAGGCGGGGGAGGAGGCGCCGCGCGGGAGCGAGGGAAGGATGGTTACAGAGACCGGGAGCGGGATAGGGACAGCGATTCGGATAGGGACGGGGAAGGGCACCGGGATCGAAATCGGGATGGTTATAGGGACAGAGATCGCGACAGGGACCGGGACAGAGATAGAGCGCGGGAACCGGATAGAGACAGGGATCGCGAGAGGGATAGGGACAGGGACAGGTATGGAGAGAGGGACAGGGAGAGAGGAGGGGAGAGAGAGAGGGGCAGGGGAAGGGATGATGACAGTATGAATTCTCCTAGGCGCCCTCCTTCGGACCGAGGGGGGAGAGGAGGCGGGAGAGCTGTGGGAAGGGCTGGGCCACGAGTAGCGGGGAGAGGCGATAGGGATGTGGGGAGAATGGGGAAAAAAGAGGCAGTAGAGGAACCAGGGGAGGCAGCGGAAGCTTCGGGGAAAGAATCGGCTGCTGCGGAGGGCACAGGTGAAGCAGCAGCAGGAGCAGGGGAGGGTGCAGCAGCAGCAGCAGCAGCAGCAGCAGCAGCAACAACAACAGCGGAAGGGGGTGCAGGAGACGCAGAGGGGGGAGTGGGGAAGGCGGACGGTGAAGGCGCGGACGCAGCGGGTGCAGCGGAGGGGGGCGGAGCGGAAGGGGAAGGAGCGGGTCCGGAAGCATGGGCGGACAGGAGAACAATGAGCCTAGACGAGCGGACGAGAGAAGGGCAGGAACCACCAGGGTCCCCTGCTGGTAGCACCTCATTCGAGCGCCAGCTCACCTCCCCTGCCAACCCCTCATCCGCAGGAGCCAAGGAGGGCAGCGGGTCCAGGCACAGAGGCTCAGGTGCTGCTTCGTCGCCTCTTAAAAAGCCCTGTAGTGGGGCTGGTGCGAGGAACCTGCCGCCCCAGCCCCGGCCAACCAGGGATAAAACGCGGCTAGGGGGTGCCGGTGGGGCGACGGGCAGTGGGAAGGACAGGGGTGGTTCCAGCAGCATCACGGCTAGCTCGCCTAGGTCTCGCCCGCCACTGTCCTCCCCTTCGTCCACGTCATCGTCGTCGCCTAGACCGTCCCTCTCGTCCTCGTCTCGATCCATGCGGACGATAGACGATATGCTAGATGCGATTGATCGTGGCTCGTCGGCTGACCGGGAAGAGGGGATCATGCGGCTCCGGTCTGCCCTGAAAGAAAGTTCCGAGGCGCGGCGGCGCGTGGTGAAACGGTCCGACGGGGTGCCGATTCTGGTAGATCTAGTGGAGGATGCATCCGCGTTGGTGGCGTCTGGGAGTGAAGGAGCGAGCAGGGAGAGCCGGATGGATGCCCCAGCAGTGCTAGACTGTGCTGTGTCGGTGATTCTCCAGCTGACACAGTCTTACGATGGGGCGCTAGAGGTGGTGGATGTTGGAGGGGTCGGGGTTCTTGTGGATTTGGTCGATGGCAAGTGCAGAAAAAAGGGTGGAGGGAGGGACGGTGGCAGCCCGAAAGGGGCTGATGACGGTGCTGCGAGCAAGTTCTCGGAGTCGGTGCGATCGAATGCAGCGGCAGCGTTGTTTGCGATTGCCACGTGTGACGATGATGACAAGGAGGATGAGGACGGGAGGCGGAGGAGGAGCAGCAGGTACCGGAACAAGATCCTGCGATGCGGCGGCATCCCTCCGCTGCTCAAGCTGCTCAAACTGGAAGCTGCTCGGTGCCGAAAAGACGCCGCTCTCGCGCTCTTTGCCCTCTCAGACGACCCGGACTGCGCTGATGAGATTATCCGGGAGGGCGGGGTGAGCGTGCTTGTGGATTCGTTGTCGGATAAACGGCCAGGCGTGGAAGAGAAGGCCATGGCTGTGTTGGCGAATCTGGTGAAGTCTAAGGAGGGGCAGGCGGCTTTGTTAGAGGTGGAGGGGACGCTGGTGATGCTGGATGTGCTGGAGAGTGAGTCGGAACGTGCGCAGGAAGAGGCGCTGTTTGCACTGTACCATCTGGTTACCACCGGCGTGGTTACGCCTGCGTTTCTGCTGAACGATGGGGCGTTGTTTCCGGTGGCGAAGATGGCTGCGAAGAAAGGGTCGCCGCCTGAAGCTCTTGAGCTGCATAAGATTCTCACAGCCGCAAGGAAGAGTGTGGCTACCTGATTAGTGTAGACATAAATGCATATTTTATTAGTTTTACCACCCAGTAGATGGATGTCCTACGTCTTCTCCTTGCGTGTCATCATTTTCAAAGAAACCCTTCGATATCCTGATTTTCCATGAAGTGTGTGGCAGTGATGTCTGGTTCGAGTTGAAGACAACGCACCTCTTGTTATTCACTTGATGTTAGGAGGCATCCTATATCGAGTAAGGTTTAGCCGACCGTTCCGCGCGAATTTTGAACTTGACACTTTGTCAGTCGCGCCTCGTCAGGGGTGAAAGAAGTCAGACTTTCAATCGGTTTCGGAGCATTGTTGTACCCCCAAAACTTGGGCCAGGTTGTTGCACAACGAACATAGTATTTGCAAGGGTGGCATCCTTTTTAGTTGTGCTAGGCTGGATGACACTGAATAAATCCAGGGCTACTGGCAATAGTACCATAGAAGTGTAGTTCATAAATTTCTCGACTAGCGCTCACCACTCCTGGCTAACGTCTTGGCGTTTTCTTGGGCTTTTAGCCTAAAACCCAAGAAAACTGAGTTAAGTCAGCCCTCGATTGACACCCTTAGCAATTAAGTCAGCGTGCTTCCAGCATGTTTCAGCAAATGGTAGAACACTCCCACCATTGCCCTTCCAGGGTAATATGAGAAAATCTCGAGTCTCGACAGGGCGCCTCCACTCAAATTCACAGCTCATCACTTTCCCTCGGCCAAGTTCCTACATTCTGCTCCGCCCTCCGCATTGATTGTCAAGCAACAGCGGTCGAAGATCCCATCATCATGCCATCCCAGCCATGAGACCTCGATGATCTTCAAGCAACACTAAATAGAAATTCACACGCGACAGAGCCGGATTAGACTTCTTCGTTCGAGATTCTGCTTTAGGCCCTGCGATATGACTAGGCATCTTGAGAACTAGGACCCAGGACTGTCTCAGAGGCGTTAGAGGAGTAGTTCTGGGTTACAGAAACCGTCCACTCAAGCACGTCTTACAGAATTAGGGCCCTGTTCAATAGGCCCCTACAGAGGCTCACTTAGGGTGCGAACTACCGCGGCGTTTTGGAGCTTTCCAGTTTCAGGTGAGGGAAAGCGAAAACGTTCGCTTATTTTGTGTCGCTAAACAGAAATGCATCTCATTGTGTCGCTAAACAGAAATGCATCTCATTGTGTCGCTAAACAGAAATGCATCTCATTGTGTCGCTAAACAGAAATGCATCTCATTGTGTCGCTAAACAGAAATGCGTCGCATTGTGTCGCTCAACAGAAATGCGTCGCATTGTCTCGCTAAACAGAAATGCGTCGCATTGTCTCGCTAAACAGAAATGCATCGCATTGTGTCGCTAAACAGAAATGCGTCGCGTTGTGTCGCTAAACAGAAATGCATCGCATTGTGTCGCTAAACAGAAATACATCTCATTGTTTCGCTAAACAGAAATGCATCGCATGTGTCGTCACAATGAGAAGCGTCTCCGATTCTTGCTTGTACCATTCTATCGTCTTCTGTCATTCTACGGTCGTAATCTTAACCTTCCCCACTGCCTTTATTCTATTCTTCTGTTCGCTTCCGCAGCGACTGACTCTACTACTCTGCTCTCTCTCATCCCTACGCGCCACCGCGTGTGATGAGTCAACTTAGAATTCGCTTCCGCTGCGAATCCCTCTAGTACTCTGCTCACTCTCTCTTCCCTATACGGCGCCAGCGTGGTTATGGCAGGCCCGGCCAGCCACGCCGCGCATGGTAGCGCCGTTGCCCCTGGTTCACCCATCCACCTCATTTTCTTTCTTTGTAACTTCTGTTTGCGGCTTCTTTCCCTGTTTCTGACAGGAAAGTATGGATCCTCCCGCTTCCGCGTCGAAGCAAGCCGGTTCGAGCAAGGCCCACCCCCTCAGCCGCTCCACGTCGAAGAAAGCCGGGACTTCACAACACGGGGGGGCGTCGTCGTCGTCGTAGTCGCAGCGAGGCACGCAGAGAGCACCGCTGGCGCCGCTGACGAGCAACCTGCAAGCACCGCAGTCGTCGTGTGAGTGATGAGTCTGCAGCGAGGCACACCGCTGGCGCCGCTGACGGGCAACCTGCAAACAATGCTTGTAATTGTCCGCAGCATCGCCTCACCCCCCTGGTTTCACCGTTTCGTTGCTCAGACTCTAATCGTCTTTCCTCTCTCAACCTCCTCTCCTCTAGTGCTATGGTGGTATGGTCAGCACCATGCGCACGCTCTACCTTTTAATTTTGCTTTTTTTTTAATATATATTCGCATTCATGGTAGACGTGAGTCTTTCGTTGCCGGCCTTCATTCGCCTTCCTCCCGTGCGTATTTCCCCTCTCTGCAGGTCGCACGAGACTGGCCAAGACTCTGGGAATTGCTTTTCTCATAGGTTGCTCGGTCCTCGGTCTCATTCGCCTCCTCCCGTGCCCCGTCCCCCCTTCCCCCTCCTCCCTTTCCCCCGCAGGTCGCACGGGAGTGGCCAAAACTCTGAGCATTGCTCTTCCCGCAGATTGCTCGCTCCTTCGCCCTCATTCGCCTTACTCCCGTGCCCCTTCCTCTCACCCCACTCCCCCCTCCGCCCCGCAGGCCGCACGATAGTGGCCGAGACTCCGAGGCCCCCAATCAGACGGCCCATCTCAGATGACTCGAAGATCCAGGTGCGAGGATGGCGAGGGAGCTTGTGTGTGTGTGTGTGTGTGTGTGTGTGTGTGTGTGTGTGCGCGCGTGCATGCGTGTGTGTGTGTGTGTGTGTGTGTGTGTATGTGTGTGTGTGTGTGTGTGCGCGTGCATGCGTGTGTGTGTGGGGGTGTGTGTGTGCGTGCGTGTGTGTGTGCGTGGGGGTGTGTGTGTGCGTGCGTGTGTGTGTGCGTGAGTGTGTGTGAGTGGGTGTGTGTGTGTGCGTGCGTGTGTGTGTGTGTGCGTGCGTGCGTGCGTGCGTGCGTGCGTGCGTGTGTGTGTGTGTGTGCTACACAGTGTGTGCGTGTGTGTGCCACACAGTGCGTGCGTGTGTGTGCGTGTGTGTGTGTGTGTCTGGGTGTTTTTGCGTGTGTGCGTGTGTGTGTGTGGGGGGGCGGGGGGGGGGAGGGATGGTGTGTGTGTGCGTGCGTGCATGCGTGTGTGTGGGGGGGTGTGTGTGTGCGTGCGTGCGTGTGTGTGTGTGTGCGTGAGTGTGTGTGAGTGGGTGTGTGTGTGTGCGTGCGTGCGTGCGTGCGTGCGTGCGTGCGTGCGTGCGTGCGTGTGTGAGTCTCGACTCGAAAATCTTGGCTGGGCAGAAAGGAGGGCCAATTAGCTCACATGTAGTACGAACCCGTAGGGCAGAAAGGAGGATTTGCTGTCTCTGTCCGCTCGCTTCTCCTCGCCTCCCTGCCTCCATCACATGTCGCTCGTTGTGCATCGCCAGGTGATTGTGGGACAATGGAGCCTGCTGATTGAGGGTGCAGCATCCGCCAGAGAGCAGCTCAGCTCAGTTCAGTAGTCAATGTGCTTCCCGCTGCACTGCTTCCTTCTCTTTCTCAGCCCACTCCAGTAGTGCCGGTGCTCATGGCAGGATGGCAGGAAACATGCCGGTGTTTTCTCTCCCTCCCTTCCTCCCCCTGCCTCCATCACTTCTCGTTCACCCCAACCTCTCTCCGCCCGGTGGTCGTGAGGGTGCGTCCGCCAGCAGTGGGTGATGCCAGACGGCCCCGTTGCTTCTCTCTCCCCCCACCCCAACTGCTCACCGCCCGGTGATCGTGAGGGTGCACTCGCCAGCGAGCTTTGAGCTGGCGGAGGGCTCTGGGGCGCAGTGTGTGACGCAGGATGGCCCCCAGTCGTTCCTGAGTCAACTCAGAAATCTGCTCCTGTTGCTTTGCTCTCCCCTTACCCTAACTTCTCATCTCCCGGTGATTGTGAGGGTGACTGCCAGCAGGTTCAGCTGGCGCGGTGCCCCCGGGGGGCGGAGTGTGACACAGGACGCTGGGGGAGGCTCTGGGGCGCAGTGTGTGACGCAGGATAGCCCCTGGTCGCTCTTGAGTTATCTTATAACTCATTCTCTTCATTCTTAGAGTGCGGCCGCCAGCGGCCCTCAGCCGGAGGAGGGCTCTTCCGAGGTGCAGTGGCTGGGCGCTGGGGGGGGCTCTGGGGCGCAGTGTGTGACGCAGGCTGGGCCCAGAAATCACCCCAGTCTCCTCCCGTTTCTTCTCTCTCCCCCGACTGGCAGGTCATTGTGAGGGTGCGTCCGCCCACGCGCTCTGAGCTGAAGGAGGGCTCCTCCGAGGGGAAGTGTGTGAGGGAGGTCCAGCCCACGTCGCTGGTGCTCGTGAAACCGGACAAGGCAGGGGTGGCGGCGAGCAGGGCCGGCGCGGGTGAGAGGGAAGGCACTCAGTTACCGGGCGAGCTGTTCGAGTTTGACCACGTGGCGGGGGAGAGCGCATCGCAGGTATGCGTGGGAACAGGCGCTCTTGGGGCTACTGAATTGAGGATGGGTAGATGGAGGGGGAAGTAAGAAGCGGGGGGGGGGGGGGGGTGGGGGGGAAGGACCTGTTTGAGCTGGCAGGCCGTCCCGTATGTGCTGCTTAACCCCATATTCCCTCCCCACCCTTCTATAGCACCCTCCACCCTTACCCGTCTCGCACTTGCTCTCTCCCCCCCTACAGCAGTAGGACCTGCTTGGGCAGCCAGACAGCCCTTTGAGACGCCTCAGAGGTGACGCCCCAACGCACTCCTTCCCCCGGCAGGAGGAGCTGATAATGCTGGCCACCTTTTTATGAGGCACTTCACAAGCCATCCCCCCATTCCTTCCCCTCCTCTCCCCCCTCCCTCCCCCCCCCCCCCCTCCCTTTCCCCCTCACTCCTCCCTCCCCCATGTCTCGCCAGAAGGACCTGTTTGAGCTGGCAGGGAGGCCCATAGTGGAGAACTGCCTTGCCGGCTACAACAGTACCTTGTTTGCTTATGGCCAGGTTTGCCCACCCCTCTGTGCCCGTGCTTGTCTGCTACCATACGTGACTGCTACCATGCGTGACTGCTACCATGCGTGACTGCTACCATGCGTGACTGCTACCATGCGTGACTGCTACCATGCGTGACTGCTACCATGCGTGACTGCCACCATGCGTGACTGCTACCAGGCTTGACTGTCGCACCTTATTTCTAATGCCCCGCCCTTCCATCCGCTTCCCCTTTTTCAACCGTATACCACTTCAAGCTTCTTGTATTCGTTTCTCAGCATTACGCACTCCCTCTACCTTGTGTCACGTTGCAGACGGGGAGTGGGAAAACGTACACGATGCTGGGAGTTGCTGGGGGGCCGGGCATTGACCGGGGGATGATTCCTCGTGTTTTCGACCTGGTCTTCGCCCAGATTGCCCTGGTGTGTTTTGCTGCTTGCATTCGGTTGTTTGCATACAGCTGCTGTTCTGCATCCATGCAGCACAAATGGGGGATGAGCTTCCAAAGGGGGGTATGATCTGATGCCTGTCCGCCCCCCCTCCCTCCTCACTCCCTGACAGGAGAAGCAGCAGAGGACGAGTGAGAAGCTAGCGTTCAAGTGCTCCTTCCTGGAGATTTACAACGAAACCCTTAGGGATCTGCTCGATCCCACCAGGAATAACTTAAGTGTGAGTGCTGCCTGCCACCTGCGAGTGCTGTCAATGAAGTGTGCTTGTGCTGGCCATGGTCACTCGTGTGCTTCATATGGTCTGTGCTCGTGTGTGTGAGGGCCCCAGGGGAGCGTTTGCAAACCTCCTCAAACAGCCTGATTCGATGGTTGGCCTAATCCAAGCCTCAGGATTTCCGTTTCACTTCAAACCACATGTCTGAACTTTGACATGCACTCCTCCCTCACTCGTCGCTTCCTCTTCCACAGATTTCGTGGATAAAGGAAAAAGGGCGCGGCATGTGTGTGCATGTGAACAACCTCTCTTCAGAGGAGGTCACCTGTTTCTCTGACGTGATGGGGCGTATCCAGCAGGTGAGTTGAGTTGGCATGGCAGTCTGCTCTTCTGTGCAAAGACGTAGATGCATGGTAGGATTAGGTAGAGACAGCTTGTACAACGGTTCATGACTTGCTGAGAAATGTTTCGCAAGCGTTGCAAATGCCAGCCATTGGTGCTCAGGGTAAGTGGGGGCTGAAGGATGGTAGTAGCATTCGCAGGGCACTGCACGCACCATTGACAGTGTCTTGCCTTTGTATTGTTGCGTGTGTGTGCAGGGAGTCAAGAACCGCCAAACGGGGGAGACAAAGATGAACAGAGAGAGCAGCCGCTCTCACTGTGCCTTCATGTTCAGCATTGAGAGCACGGTGAGTGGTGGCAGCATTGAGAGCACGGTGAGTGGTGGCAGCATTGAGAGCAAGGTGAGTGGTGGCAGCATTGAGAGCACGGTGAGTGGTGGCAGCATTGAGAGCACGGTGAGTGCTGCTGACAGGGCTTAAAGCAGCGTAAGCGTGCTTGCATATGTGTGCCGTGTGCACATGTGAGAATGTGTAAACGTGTGCAAATGTGCAAATGTGCAAATGTGCGGATGTGTGAATGTGCAAGTGTGCAAGCGTGTGTGTCTTCCCGCAACTGCAGTGGACCGTCGCTGGCGAAATCAAGCGTCGATTCGGCCGCCTGAACCTCGTCGACCTTGCAGGTTCCGAAAGGTATGCAATGGATTCCCTCAACACGCTACTCTTGCCATATCTCTTGCCTGGAAGGTACCCTCTTGCCTTATTTGTTGTCTTTTGACCCGCGTCACAACACTCTACTTTCCTGCCCTCAAAACACGCGACTGTCTTGTGCCATGTCTTTTGACAAGGCACGGCATTACTTCATGTCTCATATTGTGTCATGCCTTTGTCCCCATGGCAAGGTTATTCCACCAGCAGTTCCTTCTGCCCACCTGCACCTGTGTCCTTTCCTCCTCTCACTTGTGCCATTTGCCTTGCGCATGCGGCCAATCATGGAGTATGGTAGCACACGCAACGCCTATCCTGCCCTTTGTTTTTCCGCCCACCACCACCCCGATACCATCCCATCCCGGCCCATCCCACACAATTATTCCACTCCACCCCTCTCAACTCCTCTCCACCCCTCTCCACTCCTCTCCGTCCTTCGCAAGCATGAGACATGAGGGGCCCTTTGCAATCCTATCATGCCCATACTGCCTGCCCTCCTCCCCACCAGCGCCACTCCCCTGCACATGACCCCTCTCTACCACTCTCCACCCCTGGCAGGCCGAAGAAATCTGGGGCTGAGGGAGAGCAGTTCGATGAAGCGTGCAACATCAACGAGTCCCTCCTTTTTCTTGGGTTTGTTGCATTCTTTCCTTGGGTTGTTGCGTCACTCTTGTCTCCCTCCCTTGTTTGTGTGCGCTGTGCAAACTGGTTTAGAATCTTCCAAACCTGCTGGTCCGTCGGCTCAGGCTCGTGTACGTTGCTTGCTCACGTTGAGCTCTCGGAACTGAATGGATTAATTATGGCGTACTGTATCGTCAAGACTCTTCGACTGACTGATCTTCCGTCATGAAAATGACTGCTGTTGTGCAATCCTCTGTTATTCGCCATGCCCATTGTTAGTGTATATATAGACGTATGATTTTGAACTATCGAAGTTAGGTGCGTGCTCTATAAATTGGCACGTCCATTGCAGTTCTCCTGGCTTGGCCTGGTGTTGGTGCATCTGCTGAAAATTGTGAGAATGTGGAACATGTGGAATCAAGTGATTGGGAGGGAATGAGAGCCAACGGGGATAATATATGTTTGTTTGTATGTGTTGCCTGTTGCCATGTCATGTCATGTCATGTCATGTCATGTCATGTCATGTCATGTCATGTCATGCCATGTGCTGGTCAATGATGCCAGAAACCTTATCAACGATCTGGCGGAGAAGCGCGTGCCCGCGTACGGCAACTCCCTCCTCACCCGCCTCCTCCGGGTAAATACCCTTGCTCCAGTTAAAAAACCCCCGTTTTGTTGCTTTTAGGGTGAATCCAAGTTTGGAATCATTTGGTTTTCTCAGATTCTTAAAGCCAAAGGGTTCCCACCCCACCTTGCTCCTCCAAAAGGGAGCCTTGCTCTTCCGAAAGAGTGGTTTTCCTCCCCCAAGGGCGCAACTTTGCTTTTCCAAAAGGGTGGTTAGCTCTCTTAAGGGAGCAGCCTTGCTCCAGCATTGCTTGCCTTTTGTTGAATCAGAGAGATTATGGCCAGAATTTCATCAATGTTCGCACATCTCGGAGAAAACAAGAGTATGACCACTGACGAAGCAACCGCTCTCTACCCGCTTTCCTGAAGCCACTTTTCAACGGTCCTTTTCTGCTGTTTTGACTTCGTTTCTGATTTCACAAAGAGTTCTAAGCATGACAAAGCATGACTGCCAACAAAGAGTCGGCCCCTTACTTTCTGTCCTGACGCATGTGTCCTTCCATTCCCCACCGTTACATCTCATATGCAGGACTCCCTAGGCTAGCACTTGTGAGTCGACTCAAAATCTGCCCCTCACTCTCTATCCTGACGCCTGTGTCCTTGCATTCCCCAACATTTCACCTCGTATGCAGGACTCCCTGGGGGGCAACTCGAAGACCACCCTGGTTGCATGCATCAGCCCGGCTTTAGGGTAAGTGTTGGGACATCCCGAATTGCAATTTCTCCGCATTTGCGTCTCCTTGACGCCTTACGCCTTTTTTGTGTCTCTCCTCCCCCTCTCACATCACAGGTCGCACCAGGAGACGCTCAGCACGCTCAGGTTCGCGCAGAGGGCGAAGCTGGTGTGCAACAAGGCAGTGGTGAACGAGTCTGCAGTGGGCCAGCGGGACGACCTGCAGAGGGAGATTGCCCAGCTCCAGGTGCAATGCCCTCTGCCCTGCTCTAGTGCTCTCCTCCTCATGGTTACCTCCCTCTTCCTCCCTCTTCCTCCCTCTTCCTCCCTCTTCACCTGCAAACCGCATCTGCTTCTCCCTCCTCCATGCCTTCATGGTTCCTCTTTCTTCCTCCCTTCCACATCCTTTCCCCTGTCGTTTCTCCCTCCTCCCTCCCTCGTTCCAACCACACAGGGCAAGCTTCACCGCATCTGTGAGATCTGCACCTGCGGAGCACATCTGCTTCTGGAAGAGGGGCTGGGGGCAGTGGAGGGGAGGGGAGGGGAGGAGGAAGAGGTGGAGGGGGAGGAGGATCAGCAGGAGGTAAGTGGGTTGGATGCTGAGAGGAGAGATGTGGTGAGTGTGAAGGAACAGGTGAGTGCAATGCCTCAGTATGTGCGTCTCATCTCATGCCACCTCTCATGCCATATCTCACGCATCTCCTGCATGCATCCCGCTGCTTCTGCTCTGTGACAACGCACAAACCAGGTGGAGTAATCATCAGCAGAGGGGAACGAGCTCTTGTACCCTTTCCTCCCCTCCCTCCCCTCCCTTCCCCCCACTCCCCTCCTTGCCCTCCCTTCCCTTTCTGCCCTCCCTGCCCTCCCTCCCCTCCCTGCCGTCTTGCTCTCCCTCCCTGCCTGCCTGCCCTGTGGTCTCTTCTCCTCGTGCATGCAACCAGCAGGAACAGGAGCTGTTGGAGCAGGAGGGAGCAGCAAGAATCAACCAAGCTTCTACACCCTCTCCTTCCCTCCTTGCCCCACCAGGAGAGCATTTCTAAGGCGCCTAGAAAATCGTCACATATGGCAACAATCAACCAAGCTGCTACACCCTTCCCTCCCCTCCTTGCCTTACCTCCAGGAAAGCGGCATCAACAAGGGGTTCGAGACTCCCCTACCCACGAGGGGCAAGGCCACAGCTGGAAGGGGGAAAGCCGGAGGAGCTGAGGTGGCAGATGAGGAGGCTGACGTGGTGGATGAGGGAAGTGACGTGGCAGCACGAGAGGAGAGGATGAGGAAGGGAGAGGAGGTCAGGAGATTGACTGAAGAGAGGGATGAGCTTCAGAGGAGGGTAGAGGAACTGGAGGAGATGGTGCGAGTGGCTGAGAGGAGGGCGCAAGAGGATGCGCTGTCACTTCAGGAAGCAGCGAGGAAGTTGAAGGAGGCACAGGAAGAGGCAGCAGCAGGGGAGAGAGCGAGGGTAAATCTGGTGAGACAGGAGGAGGAGAGAATGAGAGAGACGCTGGCGGGGCAGCATGAGGAGGAGGAGAGAATGAAAGCGACACTGGTGGGAATGAAAGCAACGCTGGCGGGGCAGCATGAGGAGGAGGAGAGAATGAAAGCGACACTGGTGGGAATGAAAGCAACGCTGGCGGGGCAGCATGAGGAGGAGGAGAGAGTGAAAGCGACACTGGTGGGAATGAAAGCAACGCTGGTGGGGCAGCATGAGGAGGAGGAGAGAGTGAAAGCGACACTGGTGGGAATGAAAGCAACGCTGGCGGGGCAGCATGAGGAGGAGGAGAGAATGAAAGCGACACTGGTGGGAATGAAAGCAACGCTGGCGGGGCAGCATGAGGAGGAGGAGAGAATGAAAGCGACACTGGTGGGAATGAAAGCAACGCTGGCGGGGCAGCATGAGGAGGAGGAGAGAATGAAAGCGACACTGGCAGGGCTGCATGAGGAGGAGGAGCAAATGAGGGAGGACCTGGCGAGCCTGCAGGAGAAGATGGAGAGAGCAACGTAAGCCACCAGCCCCCTTTTCCTTTACCCTTGCCCTCTCCGCTCCACTCTTCCGCCTCCCACCTTCCACTCCTCTTGCTCTGGTCTGAGCCTCCTTATTCACAGAAAGCAAAAGGCAGCCACCCTTTCTCTTTCTGCTCCGCTCCTCACCTTCCTCTACACCCCTCACTCCACCATGTCCCCTCTTCTCTTGCTCTATATAGTCTCATTCAAGAAAAGGGAGGAAAGATATTGCGAACATTGAGGTTGGTTGATTACGAGCCCAATTGCCAGTTTCCTGATTGTAGTCCCCCAACATTCAGCCCATGCAGGCCTCCCTGTCCTCTTGCCATCACTGCAGGGATCTGGAGTAGATGGAGCGATTGCTCGTGGAGGTTGCACTTTTAAGTCGTGAAGAGAATCCTTAAAATTGATTTCAAACCAACCTGTCTTTTTATCCTCTCGCCATGACCGCAGGGCTCTGGAGGAGGTGGAGCAATTGCGCGTGGAGGTGGCGAAGCAGAGGAGCTTGGCCGACCAGGCTCTAGCGCTCTCCCAGGAGCATGCGCAGCTCAGGGTGAGAGGCCCTTGCAGGGTGAGAGGCCCTTGCAGGGTGAGAGGCCCTTGCAGGGTGAGAGGCCCTTGCAGGGTGAGAGGCTCTTGCAGGGTGAGAGAGGGGCCACACATGTGTGCAGCAGCAGGCAGTACAGCACAGACGCATGTCTGAGCAATGGCTGCAAAAAGAGTTGGCACCCTTGCAGGGTGAGAGGCCCTTGCAGGGTGAGAGGCCCTTGCAGGGTGAGAGGCCCTTGCAGGGTGAGAGGCCCTTGCAGGGTGAGAGGCCCTTGCAGGGTGAGAGGCCCTTGCAGGGTGAGAGGCCCTTGCAGGGTGAGAGGCCCTTGCAGGGTGAGAGGCCCTTGCAGGGTGAGAGGCCCTTGCAGGGTGAGAGAGGGGCCACACATGTGTGCAGCAGCAGGCAGTACAGCACAGACGCATGTCTGAGCAATGGCTGCAAAAAGAGTTGGCACCCTTGCAGGGTGAGAGGCCCTTGCAGGGTGAGAGGCCCTTGCAGGGTGAGAGGCCCTTGCAGGGTGAGAGGCCCTTGCAGGGTGAGAGGCCCTTGCAGGGTGAGAGGCCCTTGCAGGGTGAGAGGCCCTTGCAGGGTGAGAGGCCCTTGCAGGGTGAGAGGCCCTTGCAGGGTGAGAGGCCCTTGCAGGGTGAGAGGCCCTTGCAGGGTGAGAGGCCCTTGCAGGGTGAGGAACAAAAGGAGAATCGGTTGAAACAAAAGGAGGAGGAGCAGAAGCGAAAGGAGGAGCAGCAGAAGCAGAAAGAGGAGCAGCAGAAGCAAAAGGAGGAGCAGCAGAAGCAAAAGGAGGAGCAGCAGATGCAAAAGGAGGAGCAGCAGATGCAAAAGGAGGAGCAGCAGAAGCAAAAGGAGGAGCAGCAGAAGCAAAAGGACGAGCAGCAGAAGCAAAAGGAGGAGCAGCAGAAGCAAAAGGAGGAGCAGCAGAAGCAAAAGGAGAATTGGTTGAAACAAAAGGAGGAGCAGCAGAAGCGAAAGGAGGAGCAGCAGCAGCGAAAGGAGGAGCAGCAGAGGCAGAAGGAGGAGCAGCAGAATCATAAGGAGGAGCAGCAGAAGCAAAAGCAGGAGCAGCAGAAGCAAAAGGAGGAGCAGCAGAAACAAAAGGAGGAGCAGAAGAAGCAAAAGGAGGAGGAGCAGAAGCAAAAGGAGAAGCGGTTGAGGGCAGTGGAGCAGGAGCAGCAGCAGCAGCAGCAGCAGCAGCAGCAGCAGCAGCAGCAGCAAAATCGGCTGCAGCAGAAGCAGCAGCAGCAGAAGCAGCAGCAGCAGCAGTCAGCGGTGCAGAGAAGAATGGCTTATCAAAGGCTGATAAAGGACCTGGCGCTCTCCCAGGAGAACACCCACCTCAAGGTGAGACCAGGTGGGGCGGTAGGCTTGAGCAGAAAAACGAAGACCTACTCGGTTCTCCTCAAAGGCCAATTCTGTTCGGTTCGAACATGTTTGTGTTCGGTTCGGCTGTGAGTGCTGAGCCGCGTCGAACACAAACACGTTCGTGTTCGAGTTTTGCTCAACCCTCTAGGGCGGTACAGGAGGAATGTGGGGCAGGCGGAGTGGATCGACTATTATGAGGAGGCGAGGCTGCAGTGAAGATTGGAGCTGAGTGTTATTGTGGAGGCCGGTCCTTGGCTGTGTTTGTAATCAGAGGTGTAATTGTGGCAGCAGAAAGGGAGAGGCACAGACTGGAGGGAGACTGGAGGTGTGAGTGTGGGTGTGGAGTGGATTGACTATGATGAGGAGGCGAGGCTGTTGCAGAGATTGGAAGGTAGCGCAGCTGAGGTTCCTGGTGGTGTGGGTGTGCCGAAAGGTGGGGGTGTAGTGGAGTGTGCTGGTGAGAGTGGTGTTGCTGTGCCATTTTAAGGGTTCTAACTCGGGCGTGACCAGAGGTAAGCTGAAGGTGAACCTGTTAGCTAACCACAACATAGGGGTTTTGAAGAGTGAGAGTTGTCGGGGAAGTTGCGTAGCTTACCAAACCCTCATTGACAATGTGGACCTCGTTGGAAGAAAAAACATTCTTGAAAAAATCCGTGTGAACGAAAAGCCTAACTCACACATTGTGATGATACCCTCCAAACAATGTGAGAGTGTAGCTTAGTGTCCTCATGCTGAATCTCAATTCTCTGGTTGATGGTTGAAGTATTTGTGCTATCCAGGTTCAGTATTATATGTGCTATTCACGTCCCAAGAACTTACATGATCTTGTGTGATACTTTCCTGAACCAATACTTCAAGGTAAATACAATCTGTATGTATTGTCATCCCCGCTGCATTACCTAATCGTCTTTGCCAAAAACTCATTCTCTTGCCGTTCCTCCCTTCTCTCCTTTCAACCTACCCTACACAATCTCGTTCCGCATGGCGATACAGGGTAACCACTGCATGGAGGACGAGGCTTCCCTAGCCAACGTGAGCCTCTCCCACGCAGCTCTCCAAGAGCAGCAGAACCCCCAACAGAAAAAGCCGCAGCTGCCAAAGCCGCAGCAGCAGCCGCAGCCGCAGCCGCAGCAGCAGAAGCAGCAGCAGCAGCAGCAGCAGCAGCAGCAGCAGCAGCAGCAGCAGCAGCAGCAGCAGCAGCAGCAGCAGCAGCAGCAGCAGCAGCAGCAGCAGCAGCAGCAGCAGCAGCAGCAGCAGCAGCAGCAGCAGCAGCAGCCGCATAAGCATCAGCAGCAGCAACAGCAGCAGCAGCAGCAGCAGCAGCAGCAGCAGCAGCAGCAGCAGCAGCAGCAGCAGCAGCAGCAGCAGCAGCAGCAGCAGCAGCAGCGGCAACTGCAGCAGGACCAGCAGCAGCAGCAGTTGAAGCAGCAGAAGCCACAACAGCAGCCGCGGCTGCAGCACCAGCAACCACAGCAGCAGCAGCAGCAGCAGCAGCAGCAGCAGCAGCAGCAGCAGCAGCAGCAGCAGCAGCAGCAGCAGCGGAAGCAGGAGCAGCAGCAGCAGCGGCAGTCACAGCCGCAGCAGCAGAAGCAGCAGCAGCAACAACAGCTGCAGGAGCAGAGGCTGCAGCCGCTGCCACAAAAGCAGCAGCAGCAGCAGCAGCAGCAGCAGCAGCAGCAGCAGCAGCAGCAGCAGCAGCAGCAGCAGCAGCAGCAGCAGCAGCAGCAGCAGCAGCAGCAGCAGCAGCAGCAGCAGCAGCAGCAGCAGCAGCAGCAGCAGCAGCAGCAGCAGCAGCAGCAGCAGCAGCAGCAGCAGCAGCAGCAGCAGCAGCAGCAGCAGCAGCAGCAGCAGCAGCAGCAGCAGCAGCAGCAGCAGCAGCAGCAGCAGCAGCAGCACCAGCAGCACCAGCAGCAACAGCACCAGCAGCAGCAGAAACAGCAGCGGCCGCAGCAGAAGCCGCAGCAGCAGCAGCCGAAGCAGCAGCAGCAGCAGCAGCAGCAGCCAAAGCAGCAGCAGGAGCAGCAGCAGCCACAGCAGCAGAAGAAGGATCACCAGAAGCTGCAGCAGCCGCCGCGGCACCAGCAGCAGACACAGTCTCAGCAGCAGCAGCAACAGCGCCAAACACCACCCATTCTACTCCACTCATCCTGCCCCTCCTCCTCACACCCTTACTCCGCTACTGATATGCCCCATAACCCTGCATCTGCTCCCCGTGCTGCCACCACCACCACCAATACTACCAGGCACACAGCATCAAAAACCTCGGCGATAACTTGTGCACAAACAGAGCAAGAAGTTGGGGATGGTGCGGTTGGAGGGGGAAGCATGAGGAGGTGGAGAATTGAGGAGGAGGATGATTACCAAGTGGGGGAGGGGAGCGAGGAGGAGGAGGAGGAGGAGGAGGGGGGGGGGGGGGAGGGGGAGGAGGAGGAGGAGCAGCGCAAGCGTTGCAAGAGAAAGTACCTCCCAGTGGTAGTAAAAGGGAAACGTCACGTGCGTGTGGATGTGGGAATCGGAAGGCGGTGTCGACATCTGGGGGGGTCATGGCTGGAGAAAAAGGAGGCACGAGCTTGGGCTGCGGTAACACGTGTGTTGCATTCAACGGAAGCAACGGTCAGGCAAAAGGGGACTATGCTGAAGTGTGTACGCGGAATAATGTATAAAGAGGAGGTAAACCAGTTGAGACGCAAGAGGACCAATAAGGTTAAAGACTGGTGGGACGAAGTTAGCCGTTTGCCTGCCGATGATTACAAGAGCAAGTGGGGCGAGCGCCTGCCAGAGGACCTGAAGTTTCTGTCAAGTCTGTGGCAGCGCAATTATATGGTGTAGGGAGGGAAGAGTAGGTAGGGAGGTAGTCAAGGGTCAAGGGTAGGGAAGTAGCGAAGGGTCAAGCATTAACATTACCCTTACCATCATTGCCGGATATCATGTCCTATTCGATACTGCTTCAGAAAATGCCTTTTTTTTTTTTTGTAGTCGAAGCAGTCATGGAGTTTATCTTAGGATACATTCCGCTCTGGACACTGTCCCAATCAAAAGTGTCTGAATCGATTCTACCGCACTGCATTGTATTACACCGAATTACACCCTAGTTTCTAACATTGTCGAAATTTTCGCCTCTGGTTTAGTTCGGTTCGGAGCGGTACACTCGATTGGGACACTTCGATTGGGACAAGGTCCAGAGCGGAATGTACCCTTATATACAAAATCCACATTGTTTATATGGCAGAAGAATGTTGGATTGGATACCACCATCTTCTCCGAAGCGCACTTGACTACCGTATGCTATTTTTCACAATTTGCTATATTCTTGTTACAACAGTACCCCCCTGCACTCAGAAATGCCAAGTAAAAAACTCTGTCTGTTGCATAGAGCTCAGATCGCCCCACATCAGCGCAGGGGAGTGTCAAGTCCACGGAAGCTGTTGGATTGACATGTTGGAGCAAGCGCAGGCGCAACATGTCCAGCAACAGCAGCAGGAATCCAACTAGAGACACTAGAGCGTGTACTTGGTTACTGGTACCAGAGTCATATGCGATACTTCTCTTAGAACCAGTTACCGTAGTTTTTCTTGTCAATTCTGAACATTCAAATAATCAGCAGCATACGGTACCCGAGAGTTTTCTGACGGGCTGTCGAGCGATGGCGCAGTGAGATTTAAACAAAATGTCAACCCAAAACCTTATTGGTCTTGCTTTTTGTCCAGATGAGCAACCACCTATCCATCCACCCGCCCACCCACTCATCCACCAGATATCCATGGATCCCTCCCTGCACGGTCCCCCATAGACCAGCCAGTGCCCAGCACATCCATTTAACCCAGCGACAGCAGCAGCAGCAGCGGCGGCAGCACGCAGTGCAGCAGCAGGCAGTGCAGCAGCAGCAGGCAATGCAGCAGCAGTAAGCAGTGCAACAGCGGCAAGCAGTGCAGGGCAATGCAGCAGCAGTAAGCAGTGCAACAGAGAAGCATGGCTATCCAGCGACTGCAGAAGGTCCTGCCAATCTCCCAGGAGTACAACTGGGGTGAGACCTTGAGGTGCGAGAGGGGCGGCACCAACAGCAGCAGCGGCAACTGCAGCAGGACCAGCAGCAGCAGCAGTTGAAGCAGCATAAGCCACACCAGCAGCTGCGGCTGCAGCACCAGCAACCGCTGTCAAACATAATAGTTTAGGGGCCTAGGGTTTGACCTAGGCGAGAGTGACGAGAGGAAATATGCAAGCCAAAAGAGGAGTTCAATAGTAGAGGGCATACAAGATATAGGCAAGGAATTAGGCAAATGGTACACCACCTAGCAGGAAACTAAGATAACTACACTAGGCTACTGTAGGCATTTATATGAATGTATACAAATACATTTCAACACACCCCCTAAATGCCTACAGTGAAAACCCGTGTGTAGCACAAAGCCTGCAGGGGTACACCAGGTGCAGTGGAAGAAGCAGCAGCAGACAATAACAGTGGCAGCCGGTGCATTAGTGGCGAATACAGCTGCAGCACGCCCTCAGCCAAGGCAGAAGCAGTAGCAGGTGTAGGGGCGGCAGGTCGCCTGAGGAGCAGGCTCTGTGGCTGCAACGTGCAGCAGGACAGCAGCGGCTCAACGGCAGCACCTGCAGGCCCCAGCAGCAGGCAGCAGAAACAAGGGCAGGTGGCGGCAGGGGCGGCAACAGGAGGTGCCACGGTAGCAGCGGGTGGCAGCTGCAATTTCCTGACTGACTTCCGCCACCCTCTCTTACCCTCCCCCCCACAGCAGCACGAGCGGCAGTGTGAGAGAGAGGAGGGGCGGCTGCTGGCTTTGCAGAATCTCTCTCGCCACCCCCTCACACTCCCCCTCCCCCCACGGGTGCGCGAGCAGTAGTGAGAGGGAGGAAAAGGTGAACAGCAGCGGCAGGAGCTGTGTCACCCACGCGCCAACCCCACACCCTTCCCCCCCCTTTTCACTGGCGCACGAGCAGCAGGTGCGGGGCAGGGGAGCGGCCATACGCGGCTGCGCACGGCGGTGCGCGGCTTCACGCGGCCGTACGCAGCTGCGCGCGGCTGCGCGTGGCTGTGGCAGCTCGTAACGGGACGAGGGGCGGGGCAGCTCGGGCCAAGGCGGGTAGCGTGGGGCGGGTGACAGGGCGACGGAGCAATGGGGCAGAACGAGCCGCCCAACTCGTCGCCACAGCAGTAGGGTCGACCATGCAGTGCGACAGGCAGGAAACGAGCAGATTCTGGGCAGCAGCAGACAGCTCGTCGTCGCGCCCGTCACGTCAGTCACAACTAAGGGCGCGACAGGCGCCACGAAACGAGAAATACGCGGTGGGCCCATTGGGAAAAAAAAGAACAGGTTAGGTCTTAGGACGACCTAGCTCTCAATACCATGTCAAACATAATAGTTTAGGGGCCTAGGGTTTGACCTAGGCGAGAGTGACGAGAGGAAATATGCAAGCCAAAAGAGGAGTTCAATAGTAGAGGGCATACAAGATATAGGCAAGGAATTAGGCAAATGGTACACCACCTAGCAGGAAACTAAGATAACTACACTAGGCAACTGTAGGCATTTGTATGAATGTATACAAATACGTTTGAACAACCGCAGCAGCAGCAGCAGCAGCGGAAGCAGGAGCAGAAGCCGCTGCAGCAGCGGAAGCAGGAGCAGCAGCAGCAGCCGCAGTCACAGCCGCAGCAGCAGAAGCAGCAGCAGCAACAACAGCTGCAGGAGCAGCAGCCGCTGCCGCAAAAGCATCAGCAGCAGCAACTGCAACAGGAGCAGCAGCAGCAGCAGCAGCAGCAGAAGCAGCAGCAGCCGTAGCAGAAGCTGCAGCAGCAGCAGCCGAAGCAGCAGCAACATCAGCAGCCGAAGCAGCAGCAGCAGCAGCAGCAGCCGAAGCAGCAGCAGCAGCAGTAGCAGAAGCAGAAGCAGCAGCAGCAGCAGCAGCAGCAGCAGCAGCAGCAGCAGCAGCAGCAGCAGCTGAAGCAGCAGCAGCAGCAGCCGAAGCAGCAGCAGCAGCAGCAGCTGCAGCCGAAGCAGCAGCAGCAGCAGCAGCAGCCGAAGCAGCACCAGCAGCCAAAGCAGCAGCAGCCACAGCAGCAGAAGAAGGATCAGCAGAAGCCGCAGCAGCATCAGCAGCCGCCGCGGAACTAGCAGCAGACACAGTCTCAGCAGCAGCAGCAGCAACAGCGCCAAACACCACACATTCTACTCCACTCATCCTGCCCCTCCTCCTCACACCCTTACTCCGCTACTAATGTGCCCCACAACCCTGCATCTGCTCCCCGTGCTGCCACGACGACCACCAATACTACCAGGCACACAGTATAAAAAACCTCGGCGATAACTTGTGCACAAACAGAGGAAGAACTAGGGGATGGTGCGGTTGGAGGGGGAAGCATGAGGAGGTGGAGAATTGAGGAGGAGGATGATTACCAAGTGGGGGAGCGAGGAGGAGGAGGAGGAGGAGGAAAAGGAGGAGGAGGAGGAGGAGGAGGAGGAGGAGGAGGAGGAGGAGGAGGAGGAGGAGGAGGAGGAGGAGGAGGATTACGAGGAGGAGGAGGAGGATTACGAGGAGGAGGAGGAGGATGAGGAGGATGAGGAGGATGAGGATTACGACGAGGAGGAGGAGGATGAGGAGGATGAGGAGGAGGAGGAGGATGAGGATTACGAGGAGGATGACGAGGACGAAGATTACGAGGAGGATGAGGAGGACGAAGATTACGAGGAGGATGAGATGGAGGGTGAGAGACCAGTGGCAAGAAGAAAAAGACGAGCAGGACGAGCAAGAAGAGGCGAGGCGCAAGGGGTTGTGAGACTCGAGAGTTGACTGCATACGGTACAAATGAAATTAACAATTAAAAAACACCCCACAGATAGCAAGCAGGACAAAAGAAAGGATTTCTGTTGCTGCAGTTGTCCTGATAGAGACCAGGACGTGGTTTGGGCTGCCATCACTAGGGTGGCCAACACCCTTGAAGACAAAAGCGAATTTGCGAATACACGGCATAGGGTGAAAGGTGTTTTGGAGGAGAGGAGTTCAAGGTGCTGAGGGAGAACAGGGAAGTGGTGAAGAAATGGCTGGCGACTATCAAGTTTATCCCTGATCCGGAGAAGCCAATCTGGCAGCGTAAGGATCCGGCTCAGAGGCTTGAGATCCTGAAGAAGGCTTTGGAACGCTACGGAGGAGGAGGGGGAGGAGGGGGAGCAGGGGGAGCAGGGGGAGCAGGGGAGCAGGGGGGGCAGGGGGAGCAGGGGGAGCAGGGGGGGCAGGGAGAGCAGGGGGAGCAGGGGGGGCAGGGGGAGCAGGGGGAGCAGGGGGAGCAGGGGGAGCAGGGGGAGCAGGGGGAGCAGGGGGAGCAGGGGGGGCAGGGGGAGCAGGGGGAGCAGGGGGAGGAGGAGGAGCAGGGGGAGCAGAGGGAGCAGGGGGAGCAGGGGGAGGAGGGGGGGCAGGGGGAGCAGGGGGAGCAGGGGGAGCAGGGGGGGCAGGGGGAGCAGGGGGAGGAGGGGGAGCAGGGGGAGCAGGGGGAGCAGGGGGAGCAGGGGGGGCAGGGGGAGCAGGGGGAGCAGGGGGAGCAGGGGGGGCAGGGGGAGCAAGGGGAGCAGGGGGGGCAGAGGGGGCAGGGGGAGCAGGGGGAGCAGGGGGAGCAGGGGGAGGAGGGGGGGCAGGGGGAGCAGGGGGAGCAGGGGGAGCAGGGGGGGCAGGGGGAGCAGGGGGAGCAGGGGGAGCAGGGGGAGCAGGGGGAGCAGGGGGAGCAGGGGGAGCAGGGGGAGCAGTGGGAGCAGGGGGAGCAGGGGGAGCATGGGGAGCAGGGGGAGGAGGAGGAGCAGGGGGAGCAGGGGGAGCAGGGGGAGCAGGGGGAGCAGGGGGAGGAGGAGGAGCAGGGGGAGCAGGGGGAGCAGGGGGAGCAGGGGAAGGAGGAGGAGCAGGGGGAGCAGGGGGAGCAGGGGGAGCAGGGGGAGGAGGAGGAGCAGGGGGAGCAGGTGGAGGAGGAGGAGGTCGAGCAGCAGCAGGCCGCGAGTTGTCAACTACAGGAAGATTGCCCTAGTGATGTTCAAACCTACACGTTAACGGCAATGAAGGAACGTAAAATTCCTCGAGCAGCAGTCCCTGCTTTTGAGGCAGGGGAAGAGGGTCGGGAGGTGGTTAGGGAGGGAGCGGGCACAAGGGTGGAAGGAATGGGGGTGGCTGAGGAGGGTGGTGGCGGTGGTGGAGTTGTGAACATGGACGATGGTCAGGACGAGGATGGTGTTGGGGGGGAGGGGAGGGGGAGGGAGGGGGGGAGGAACAGCACTGGCACCAGGAGCAGCAACAGCATTAGCACTAGCAGCAGCACCAGCAGCAGCACCAGCGACAGCACCAGCACCAGAGCAGCACCAGCAGCAGCGGCGCATGGTGAAAGTTCAGAGGCGCGGCGGCGCGTGGTGAACCGATCCGACGGGGTGCCGATTCTGGTGGATCTTGTGGAGGATGCATCCGCGTTGGTGGCATCTGGGAGTGACGGAGTGAGCAGGGAGAGCCGGATGGATGCCCCAGCAGTACTAGACTGTGCTGTGTCGGTGATCCTCCAACTGACGCAGTCCTATGATGGGGCTTTAGAGGTGGTGGATGTTGGGGGCGTGGGGGTTCTCTAGGATTTAGTGGATGGCAAGTGCAGAAAAAAGGGTGGAGGGAGGGACGGTGGCAGCCCGAAAGGGGATGGTGACGGTGCTGCGAGCAAGTTTTCGGAGTCGGTGCGGTCGAACGCGACGGCGGCGCTGTTTGCGATTGCCACATGTGATGATGATGACAAGGAGGATGAGGATGGGAGGCGGAGGAGGAGCAGCAGGTACCGGAACAAGATTCTCCGATGCGGCGGCATCCCTCCGCTGCTCAAGCTGCTCAACTTGGAAGCGGCTCGGTGCCGGAAAGACGCGGCTCTCGCCCTCTTTGCCCTCTCAGACGACCCGGACTGTGCCGATGAGATAATCCGAGAGGGCGGGGTTAGCGTGCTGGTGGATTCTCTGTCAGACAAACGGCCGGGGGTGGAAGAGAAGGCCATGGCTGTGTTGGCGAATCTGGTTAAGTCTAAAGAGGTACAGGCGGCTTTGCTAGAGGTGGAGGGGACGCTGGTGATGCTGGATGTCCTGGAGAGTGAGTCGGAGCGTGCGCTGGAAGAGGCGCTGTTTGCACTGTACCATCTGATTACCACCGGAGTGGTTACGCCTGCGTTTCTGCTGAATGACGGGGCGTTGTTTCCGGTGGCGAAGATGGCTGCGAAGAAAGGGTCGCCGCCTGAAGCTCTAGAGCTGCATAAGATTTTCACATCGGCAAGGAAGAGTGTGGCTACTTGATTAGTGTCGACATAATTGTAGATGCGATAGCTTTACCACCCAGCAGATGGATGTCATACGTATGCTCCTTCCTTACAATAAGTTTTAAAGCAACTCCAGTGAATTATATCCTGATTTTCCATTTAAATATGGCAGGGAGATTCTGTGAGAGGTAAATTGTCCTATAAAATGATGCCTGTTTGGGATGAAGATAGGTTGTTTTTTACTTGACTTCTTGTCAGTCGCGCCTCGTCAGGGATGACGGGTATAAGATTTTCAATACATTTGGTGATGTAGGAAACGTACAATCAATACCCATTATTCTTACGCCATCTTATGGGGCACCGGTGTATTGAAGCGAGCGCAGCATTTCGCCTGCATTGGCGACTTCGCATCCGGCAAACGAAGGCACGTGACAAGCGACAGTCATCGGCATCATGGATGGGAGCTCGATGGAGATCTGTACTGTACCCCCTGCCACCGCCATTCGCGTCGCATGGCGATTCCCAAATAGTAATCGCCCTCGCTCGCACAGTGGGAGGGAGAGATGGACGGTGGATGAGAGAGCGAGGGTGAGAAAGGGCAGGGGAAAAGGGGAGCTGTTTGCGCGACGGATGGGGATGGGGATGGTGGAAGGGGGAAAGGGGAAAGGGGACCAGGGGGAAAGGAGATCATGGATCAAAGCGCAGGGCCATGGGCGGTGACTGAATGTCGGTTCCTAGGTCACACTCGGTTTGGGCCAACATCACGGGCATGCAACATAGTACGGTAACCCTATGCAATTGTATGCAAAACCGTCGATACCTCGGTTTTGGAGGTATTGACATATTGCGCTAGTATCTAGGTTGTTTTATTGGACACACTGATTTCTACCGCGCTTATCTTTCCGCTTAATTTTGATTTATTCGGGCGACTATTCTGCCAGATGAGAAAAACTGTTCACTTCTTTTGACAGGAAAAATAAAACCCAATCGGAAAGGGATGCACTCGGGGAGGCATCAACCCTAAAAACAATGCCCTTTCCCGTTTTTAGGGTTGATCCCTCCCTGAAATGAGTCCAGGTCCCTAGGGATTTTGTTTTCCTGCCTGCCCTAGCAGTAATCGGTAGAAATATATTGGGTGCAAAATATTGTTACGAAAAAGAGTTTCCGTGAACTTCCATTCTAACGGAATTTCCTGTAAATTTTATCGTGCAAAATAGTTGCCCGCAGGAATCTTTGTCAGGCGCCGAACGGAGCGCGGTAAAAAACGAATGAAACGAAATCGAAAACGCATTTGATTGTTGCACCCATTGCACCCTTTTTGTGCTGCGTCAGCTGTTACACAGTGTTTTGAGTGGCGCTACCAGACAAATTTGCGACGCAGAACTGGGGTATCGACGGTTTTGCATACCATCGAATAGGGTTACCAGACTAATTTGCATGTCTATGATGTTGGCCAAACTCGGTTTCTGCTTCAAGCTGGTCACTTCCACTTGGTTTCTGCGGCGGACTATGACCGACCTGATCCCAGTAAATCATGGCAATATGGCCCCCCTTCCGGGGGAAGCTCCGCCTCGTATCAGGCAGCGATCAGTGCTCGCGCCGATACGTGGCCGGAGCTCCGCCACGCCACGTCTATCATCGCGCCGCCTGCCACATGCGATCACTGCGCGCGCCTATCATGATGCGCCGATCGGCGATCATGAACCCCGGGCCGTGCCGCAGTTACGATGTCAGCTTAATAGTACCCTGTCGCGAGGACGAATTACTCCTTCCGTTGCTGTAGCTGCTGCTCCTCATCCTGCTTACAGCTGAGACTATTAATACTATTAGTAATAAGTACCAAGGGATTTTCCGCCAAGAAATTCTCCGCTCACCCGCTATATTGCGCCTTCCAGGTAGAAGCGCCTCTTTCCACGCAGCGCGCTGAGTCACCTGTTTCCGCCGGTAGCCATCGCCCCCCCGAGTCGTCAACTGCGCCTTCTCCGCCGCCACCTCTCCTTCGGTAGCGCGTTCCGCGCGCCCGTCGTCATGTCGCGCCGGGGCTTCCCGCTTGTTGCGCCGCCTGCGGCAGTTCTGGTCGTTCTTCTCCTCGTCGCAGCGGCAGCTGGCGGCGTGCGCGGATTGCGCGGGAATGCGGCGCAACCCCGCAAGCTGGCTGTTGGCGGAAGCGGAGACTCTCCGCGGAGGAGAGCGGCGGAGCTAGTGAAAGAATCCCCCCATCATGCTTCCGCAACGGCGGGGGCGCATGTTCCGCCGCTGCAGCTGATAATTGCGGAAGAGGCGCGCGGAGGGCGCAGTGTGCTTGGACGGATCGGCCCCTGGGTTCTACTATCGGAAGGGCTACGGCTCGGGACAAAACAACTGGGTGCTGTTCTTCGAGGTGTGACTAAAAAGAACGATTCTCCGTCTTCCTCTTTTCCTTCAGTTGTAACCGCACTCCTACTTTCCGCCTCCTACTCTCCTCCTTGTTTGTCCATTCTTTCCCTCCCTTTGCTTACCTTCCACTCCCCCTCCTTTCCCTTCTCCCTTCCCCTTCCCCCTCCCCCTTTCCGCGCGCGGCATTGCAGGGCGGCGCGTGGTGCGCGTCCCCGCACGCCTGCGCGTACCAGGCGCGCACGCACCTGGGGCCCTGCTGAGGAGAGCTGACTTGATACCCTCTCGCCCCCTTCTCCCTTCCCTTTCCCCCTCACTGCAGGGCGGCGCGTGGTGCGCGTCCCCCCACGCCTGAGCGTACAGGGCGCGCATGCACCTGGGGTCGACGAAGCACACGCGGTCAGTGGGGGAGATGCTGGATAAGCAGAGCGGCAGCATGCACGGCATGCTCAGTGGCAGCAAGACCGTCAACCCTGGTGAGAACAGCTTTTGAGTCGATCCTAAAGTCAAAGCACGCGCACTCAGTGGGGGAGATGCTGGATTAGCAGAACGGCAGCATGCAGGGCATGCTCAGTGCTAATAAGACCGTCAACCCTGGTGAGAATTCGTAGCTGCTGCACCACACCGCGCCGCACCGCACTGCACCGCATACTTGCGCAGAACGGCAGCATGCATGGCATGCTCAGTGCCAACCGCACCGTCAACCCTGGTGAGGAATTCGTGGCTGCTGCACTGCACCGCTCCGCACACTTGATGCGCAGAACGGCAGCATGAATGTCATGCTCAGCTTCAGCCACACCGTCAGCTCTTTTCGCCTGCTTTGCTGACACCGCCTTGCATCCACCCCTTCCCCCTGTCCCCTGCCCCCTGTCCCCTGCAGATTTCTACAACTGGAACGCCGTCTATTTCATCTACTGCGATGGCGGCTCCTTCTCAGGCCACCAGGACCAACCCGTTCGCTTCAATGTCAGTCACCTGCCCCTCCGCCCCTCTACTTCTCCGCCTCTCTGCCTTTCTGCCTGCTCGCCTCTCGGCCGTTTAACATTCTCGTCTACTCGCCACCTCTCCGCTCTCGTCGTGCTGTTTCTTCCTTCTCGCCTTCCCCCTCCCGAATCCACGTCCCTCCCCCCCTTCAACGCATTCCCCTGTAACTTTGAGATTTTTTAAACTCGATTTCCCCTGTAAATTCAGACTTTATCTCTTCTATCCCCTTCCCCCTATGTCCTTTCCCTTTTCTCGTTCACCTTCAACTGGGCGGGCAGGTGGTTGTCTCGGGGTCCTCAGCGGGGGGAGTGGCACTACTGCTGCACTGCGATCGAGTGAGGGACACTCTCACAGCCGCCTCTCCCTCCATGCACGTCCGCTGCCTTGCCGATGCCTCAATGTTCCTCGATATGTAAGACTCCTCTCCACCCCTCTTCACTCCTCTGCAACTGTCTTGTTACCTTGCAATTTGACTATTAATGGGCTGTCCTGTAAGAGCTCATTGACTTGTTGACTTGTTTTTTACATAGTGTGGGATTGTTTTGCTTCTCATGTCTGTGCATGCACGTGTGTGTCTCGCTGTCCCTCCCTCTCTGCATATGAGCAGCCCATATTCTGACAACACCCATAGGATCGCAGCATTCTTTTCTGAAGTTCAGACCATGCATGTGAGTGAGCAAGTCAGGGCATGCATGTGAGCAAACGAGGACATGCATGTGACAAGAATGTGAGGGACAAAACGTGTGCAAGTCAGGGGCAAGTCATAAATGAAGAGTACGCACAAGTCATAAGGAACAAGCGATCCCACATCAGTCCATATCTGCCACCCCTCTCAATTTTCCCTGCCTTCCTTTTTCTCCTCCCTTTCTCATCCTCCCTGTTATCTCCGTTCTCTCTGTCCTCTCTCTACTCCCTGTTCTCCTCGCCCGTCTTTCCAGAATCTGATCATCAGCGTGTGTCAAGGAGCGACGGCTGGAGCAGCAGCATCAGGTGCGCAGCGCTGCTGTTGCCGTCCACCCTCCGCATGGCATGGCATCAGTAGGAGGCTGTGCCATCGCATGGCTGTGCCATCGCATGGCTGTACCTCCATGGCGTGTGTTGTATGGTTGCACCATCGCGCCGACCCCCCCGCTTCTCCAAATGCACCCCACCCTACCCTTCACCCTTCCCCACTCTTCGCCCCACTCACCTACCTGATATGCATCCGCCACCACTCTCCACTCCGCTTCACCCCTCATCACCACTGCCAAAATAAGCCCTCGCTCCGACCTCCTCACCCTCCTCACCATCTCTCCGCCCTCCTCGCCCTCCCCACCCACGCCAGTGCTTCATGGCGAACCATATTCTGCAGTACGTCTCCACGCCTCTCTTCCTCATCAACAGCAACTATGACAAAGTCGCGGTAAGAGACCGTGTGACCATGACTTTTGAGTCGACTCACCAGTCATTTGTCTCCTCCACGCCTCTCTTCCTCATCAACAGCAACTATGACAAAGTCGCGGTAAGAGAGGAATTCTACTCATTCCAATTTGACAGGAATTCTACTCATTCCAATTTGACAGGAATTCTACTCATTCCAATTTGACAGGAATTCTACTCATTCCAATTTGACAGGAATTCTACTCATTCCAATTTGACAGGAATTCTACTCATTCCAATTTGACAGGAATTCTACTCATTCCAATTAAGACTATAGCAATAATCATTCAGCCTTCCCTCTCTCATCTCTTGACCATTTTCTTGCTCCCGCTTGCAATCTCGTTCGTGACTTGACCTGCAGGTGAGGAACATTGCAGCTCCGCATGTCTCTCATTCTCTTTCTCTTTCGTGTGCTTCCTTTTGTGCCTTGACGTGCAGATGAGGGCCATTACAGCACCGGAGGTGTTGGGTTCGGGACTAACGGCCCCACCTGACTGTTTCGATCATCTCAGCACCTGCACTGCCAAAGAGAAACGAATCTTTGAGGGTGCGTGAGTGAGTGAGCGAGTGAGTGAGTGAGTGAGTGAGTGAGTGAGTGAGTGAGTGAGGGTGCGTGAGTGTGCATGCACTTTCACAAGTCTAGTCTCCTCTGCCTTACACTCCTTGCCTTACGTTTCCCTGCCGTCCTTGCTTTACCTTGCCCTACCCCTCTCTCCTCACCTTGCAATACCATTCATTCCCTACCTCTCTTTCCTCACCCCCCTGCCTTACCTTGCCTCACCTCCCTTTCCCCACCTTCCCCCACCTTGCCTAACCTTGCCCCACCTTGCCCCACCTTGCTTCACCGTTCCCCACTGCTGGATTTCAGACTACCGCTCTGAGTAAGCCCCAAATAATCGAGCGACATCTCGATAGGGTTTGCTACTCTTATGTTGTGTAACTTAGCACCAGGAGAAATCCTACGTCACATCCTATAATGGTTTGATTCGAATTTGTTCGTTTGTGTATTTGATATGCTTGCTATCCCCTGTACAATATCGTTGCCTCCCTGGATATACTACCCCATAGGCAATTATGGGTATATATTTCCCAAGAAACAAAGGGGTCATTTAGTGATGGTAATTTGAAGGCATTGTGTCAATTGTGCATCATGTGCTTCATCATGGCGGAAATGTTACTACTCTGTACAATAATTAGTATACCAGTGTGGCTATAGTGGGAGGGATGCGTAGCATCTCATGCTGGCGTTTCGCCTCCCTGCCCAGTTTATGTACGCTTTGCCTTGGAGACATCGCGGCAGTCAAATGTCAGGCGATGTTCACATGAAAGGATCAGCAGCATGCAGTCAGACTATCCATGGATGCACTCTCGTTCCTACAAGCGGCACTTGATCGTTTTCTCATCACAAGAATAGTGGCGCGTAGAGGTGGTGACGCGAAGTAAGGAAATCTTATCTCCTTACACGGGTGTTTCGTCTCCCTGGCCAGTTTTGCCTTGGGGACATCGATAGTCAAATGTCCCGAGAAGTTCACACGAAGAATCCGCATGCAAGCAAACTATGGATGCACTCTCGTTCATGCAAGCGGCACTTGATCGGTTTCGCATCAAAAGAATAGCGACTCGTAGGAGGCTCATTCTCGAGCACCCTAGAACAAGATTCGAACCGTATAACAAAGCGTGTATCGGTGAGCCTCCTTAGGTCCCTTAGGTCGCAAATCACCTTGAGGGTTCTTATGGTTTCGTTTTTTTCTGGAGTTTCTGGCACTGCCACCACCATGGACTTACGCGCTTTGTTTTCACCTTCAAAGCTGACCAGACTGAACACTTTCTCGCTCTCAACTCTCACTCGGCTGTCGACTTTAGAACGCGGCACGCTGAGGAGTAACTTTGCTACATCTCTTCACACTCAATGTAGAGGAAAGGCTATAGAACAACATGGTACCATCTCCGGTGATCTTCAGAGCACGTTCAAGGAGCTGAGCTCTACGTGGAGTTCCCCGGCAACGAATCGAGCTCCCGTTGGTGTGTTCTGGGACTACGAGAATCTTCCTGTCCCAAAGCGTGCATCGACCTCAGAAATTGTTTGCGAGCTGCAGAAATTTGCGGACGGTCTAGGAGACCTGCAGCTGATAAGAGCGTACGGACAGGACACATCCTTCCAGGAGCAGAAGGAAATTCGGCGCTGCAATGTTGAGCTCGTGGTAGTTCCGCCGGGAAGAAACATGGCAGACAACGCCATAAAGAAAGACGCTGAAAGATTCTTGCTCAAGGAGATCGCATGTCTTCTGAACTCTGGACGGGACAGCACGGAGGCCAAGTAAGTGCTGTACAAGTTGTAGCTTGTTTTTTTTTTAATTCTTGTTCTTAATTTCCAGCCACTCCACCTTTTTTTTTCTGATTCAGAACTGTCTCTGCGTATCTCACCCCTGGCTTCCGAAGCAGTTTTGAGCATCCTATTGTCGTCATACTGTCTCAAGATCGGGATTTCTTCCCTTTCATCACAACACTGGTTCGTGCCGGAGTGAGAGTAGTCACATTATTCTCCTTAACCACCAAGCAGATCCTGGAGCAGAGTGAGAGATTGCGCTCTGCTCTAATGCAGTCCAAGGTGTCCCTGCAATCCAGCGAGGTACGAGCAGGTTCAGTCATAATGCGCGGATTCTTGCTCAGCAGGGCTGACCTCTTGCCGACATCTGCAGCATCGACTCTGAAGTTGGATCCTACCAATTCCAGCGCACACAACTCCGCCACAAGCTTGACACCCCCAACGCTTGAAAGAAATGATCCAGAACTTGCACGGCTCAAGTACGAGTTTGTCACCGTCGTTGGTGCTCATGGCGCATGCAACATCCAGCAATTTTACAATCTGTATCATGCTGTGTTTGGGAAGCAGTTCAGGTACAAAGACCACGGGTTTAATGGACAGCACCAGTTGATTTCTGCGCTCAACGGTATTGTGGAATTTTCAAGGGAAGACCCGCACAAGCCTTTCAACGTTTCACTCGTACAGTCGGAAGACAACATGCGAACTCTTGGACTTATCCAGTCAAGGCTGAGAGTCGCGGTTCATGCAGCACTGGAGGATCTATTGCCAAAAAAAGGTGGTGCATCCAGGCATTGGATTTCCCTGCAGCAACTGGAAGAACAACTGAGATTGAAGACGCGGAAGCAGTTGGGAGAGCTGTTAAAGATCCATGGTTTTCCGAAGCCCACAAAAGGAAGGGCTCATGTGAATGAGCGGCTTGTGCTGCTTTTGAAGCAGATGCCTGATTTACTCGAAGTGCAGGAAGTCACACAAGAAAGAGTTCGTGCGTGTCTTATTCGAACCGAGAAGGATACTACGATTGCTGAGTGGAAGCTGAGGAGTGCAATGTGGGACGGATCAGTGTACATGTCTCAGTAACTAGTGTACTACATACCAATGCTTGTACCTAGCATTCTGCTGCTGCTTTTGTTCTACATAACGGGCTAAGATTACAAAAACAATTTGACCCCAGGCATGAATGATTTACAAGAGGACGAATATGCACAACACCATCACAGAAGCTGTACCGATATGTCCCTCGCACTATTTCTGTTCCCCCGACACGCCATACTTCTTCTGCATCTTTTCCAGCTTCTCCTCGTTCTTCCGATTGACCACGCTGAACCCCGACAGATGCTCCCCAGCGACAGCAGTATGTCCCTCGCGCTATTTCTGCTCCCCTGACACGCCATACTTCTTCTGCATCTTATCCAGCTCCTCCTCGTTCTTCTTCTGCTCACCCATCCCAGGAAGACACCCACAGAAGGGAGGCGGAAGAAGAGGCGGGGAACAGACAGGGTAGCGAGGGGCAAAGGGACAGAGGTGACATGTGAATACGCCTGCTGTACTGGCTATGGGGCGAACATAGTGCGCAGAAACTGTAGAGCAGTAGTACGGAGGTGGGTTGGAATAAGCCTCTAATGAAGAAACACTTCCTAATCCCAACTCACTCGTGTTGTTCTGGACGGTCGGTTGGCGCTGAGACTGCAGGACAGCAGAGCAGACCTTACCCACCTTGAACCTCCACATAAGGAAGCACACCCCAATCCCCACTCAATCCTTTCTGTTGAACTGGACTGTTGGTTGAAACTAATGCACATAGAGAGTGCAGGGCAGCAGGGCAACAGTCCGTACCTGGTCGATCTTCTTGGTGAACTTGGCCTGCTGGTAGTAGAGCACTATGAGGTACCGATTGGCCACGTTGAACCTCTAGCCAAGCAAACACACCCCAATTGACAAGGAAACAGGCTGAAACGCTGACCATTGAATGAACCTACCTGGTCGATCTTCTTGGTGAACTTGGCCTGCTGGTAGTAGAGCACTATGAGGTACCGATTGGCCACGTTGAACCCCGACAGATGCTCCACAGCGTTCTTAGCGTCGTATATGTCCTCGTACACCACAAACGCTGTTCCTCGCGTTTCTTTCGTCACTCCGCTGGTAGATGAACGAGAGAGGGAAGAAGAGGGCAGGAAAGACAGGGGGCAGGGGACACGTTGAACCCCGACAGATGCTCCACGGCGTTCTTGGCGTCATAGATGTCCTCGTACACCACAAAGGCTGTACCTCGTGTTTCCTTGGTCACGCCTCTGGAAGAGGAAAGAGGAATGAAACAGGGAGGAAAAGATGAGGCTGCAACAGGATGTTCCACGGCGTTCTTGGCGCTGTGAATGTCCTCATACACCACGCTGGAAAAGGGTACGAGGAAAAGGTAGGAGAAGCAGAGGGGGGGCGCTGAGAATGCTCCACTGCGTTCTTGGCGTCGTCATCATAGACCACAAAAGCTGTTCCGCGTGTTTCCTTTGTTACCCCGCTAAGCTAAGGAATAGCGAGAGAATCAAGTAGAAGGAAAAGCAGGGAAGGCAGAAGAAGGATGTTTCACGGCGCTCTTGGCATCGTAGATGTTCTCATAGACCAGCAAGGCTGTGCCACGCCACGTGAAAGAAGTGTATTTTTTAATCGTCTCAGAAATACACTTCCTTCACGGCGCTCTTGGCGTCGAGGGTGTCCTCATAGACCACCAAGGCTGTGTCACGCGCCTCTTTTGTTACCCCACCGAAATCGCAAGGAGGAAGGAAATAAGAGGAACGAGACAAGAGAGACAAACGAATGGTACGCGTCTCACCAGAATTCAGTGTCAGTCAGACAAGTGGACGCAATGCGATACCCTGGTATGCTGGGTCGCCGCAGAATCGTACAGATAGTTGGGGTGATGATTGTGTGACCATGAATGTGGCTATGACTGCAGAGACGATTGTGGAGAAGTATGGCAGGCGGAAGCGACCCACATGCGTATTTGCCTGATGGCGCCGTATTTCCCAAAGATGTCGTACATCTCCTCCGATGTGATGTTAAACGGTAGGTTGCTGTTGGGTATAGAGGGGTGGAGAGGGGTTACACAGGGGTAGAGTAGGGTAGAGAGAGGCAGAGAGAGGTAAGGACAAAGTAAGATGTCGAACATCTCCTCCGATGTGATGTTGAAGGTGGGTTGCTGTTCAGAGGGGCGGTTAGTGGTACAGAGAGGTAGAGAGGGAGGGTAGAAAAAGGTAGATAAAGATAGAGAAAGGCAGCGTGAGGCAAGGACACGGTAAGATGTCGCACATCTCCTCTGATGTGATGTTGAACGGTAGGTTGCTGTTGAGAGGGGCGGTTAATGGTACAGAGGGGTTGAGAGGGGTAGAGAGGAGCTATGTTGGAGTTGCTTTTGAATATTCTCACAAGCAACTCCAACATTGAGGGGTTGAGAGCGGCAGAGAGGAGCTAGGAATCGTTAGGGTAGGACACGTTCTTAGATGATACGTGCAAGGGTAGGACGCTGTGGGAAGTGAGTGGCAAAGAGAGAGGTAGAGAGGGGAAGAGAAGGGTGGAGAGGAGCAGAGAGAGGCAGCGATGGGTAGGGAGCAGTAGGGAGGTGCGAAGAAGTATAGAGGCGCACGAAAGGGGTATGATGGTATATGGCGGTTAGGGGCTGTACCCCTGAGTTAGGTTAGGAGGACAAGAACGAAGCAAGGCAAATGAACAATGGGGCAGAGGAGGGAGGGGCGACGAGAAGTGAGGCAGGGGGAAGGCGAAGGAAGTGAGGAAGAGAGAAGCAGAAAGCGAGAGAGAGAGAACGTGGGCTTGTTATTATCACACAAACGATCATAGGTGCGTCGCAGGCAGGCACAATGCTTGTGTGCAACCGCGTGGTGAAAAGACGAATCGTGTTTAAAAGTTGAGGCAGATTATGCAAGGGAATAACATGTGACTATGGTGCTCTAGACACGCCACACGCTTCATTACACTCACCGCACGTAGATGGCTCTGTTGACTTCGGGTGGTAGTCGGACCTGGGGAGGAGAGAGATAGAGAGAGGCGGGAGAACGAGAGGAGAGAGCGTGGCTGAATGAGGTGGGGAGGGGTGCAAGGGGACCAACCACTTCGTTTTCGTGAGCCAACGCTGGGATTCTTGAGGACAAACGCTGGCTGCAAGGGTCCTAAACTAATCAAAACTGGAATTTCAAGTGGAAAATCGTGTAACGACACCGGTTTCCATACGTAATCGTAATACCTAGGTTAAGTAACCAAGCGGACAAAACAACCGGGTTAAAGTATGAAATGAGCAGCAGAAGTAGGATTCCCTCAGCTATATACACGAGAGACTTAGACCAGTAGCGGCAGCAACTAAGCCCACGCACTGAGCAACCAACGCGCATCATGCTGCTTCTGTACCTATGGAGGTTGAGACGCGATTGCGGATGCGACGTTACATGCTAACCTTTTCCGGTCGTTCGGCAATTGCTGAGACGGAAGAGAGAGATACGACAGACAGAAGAGAGAAAGCGACAACTCACATTCCGCCGATTCATCGTGCCTTATCCTTCTTGAGGATGCCCTCCTGGGACCTCCGTGAATCTACCCTCTTTTCAGATTTCGGTGATAGGATCTATAATTGGAAGCAAACTTCACACGGCTTCTTAGTTTCGTGGTAGGAAGACGGCTCACGTTACGCCCCAGCTACCTCACAGACGATGAAAGCTACGATCGGAGAGCCAGTGCCTGAATGGAGAAGGCGAACTAGCGAGCGCTCTCGCAACAAAACGAAACGCCACGCAAAAAGCTAGGTCGAAAGCGGGTGCGCAACAAAGCAGCTCCCAAGAAGATTTCCTCGGGGTCGATAGTTTGGAGAACTTGGGAATGCCCGTGTTCAGCAGCTGAAGTGGGCAGTCGGAGTCGTTATTGACGATTAGCCAGAAATACTTGTCGTAGTCGCGAGTCATTTCCTATGGCGTACGCGAACCCGTTACAAACCGACATTCCTTCTGCTGCATGCGTATAGAGGGTTTTCCGACCCAAACCAACCCAATTTCATATAATAATCAGCTCAAACAAAGTTTCCAAGTTCCAACCCACTAGATATGTCACACTAATCAAAATATAAAATATAGTGAACCTATGAATTTCTCTTTATATAGTTTCATACACGTGCGGTACACATACTTGGCACTTGCCATTTTATTTATAACATATGCAAATGCATCTTGAGACAATTTTCATGTTTAGGGCGGATTCCTTACTTCGTGTCATCCGCACTTCGTGTCATCCGAATTTATTTTTCCCCGAGCCAATGTTTGCCGATTCGACTTCGGGTCATCCGACGCGGCACATTTGGCTGGTCCCACATGTTCGGATGACACGAGGGCCGGACGACACGAAGTCAGGAATACGCCCTTACTATCAAGGCCTTATAGCTGAATGTTTCAAGCAATCCGAAACGTCCTAATCTTCCCCAACTGCACAAACATAGACACTGCCTCATCTGAGTATACAGAATTCGGTTTAGGGCATCCATGTCACAAACTAAGATTGAAACAGGGACCAATGTTAAGTCAGAGGTGAGCGTAGAGTGTGCAGGGTGGGCAGTGAGGGATGAAAGGCAGATGGAGTGGTAGAAATGGAAGATAGAGATCGGGATGGACGATCACGGGGAGAGTGCGGCAGATAGAAAGAGCAGGTAGAAACGAGGTGAAGGAAATGAGGAAGCTGATGGAAGTCATCAAAAGAGAGACCGGAAGGAAATGTGGGATGATGGGATGAGCGTGGAAGGAGAGGAGAGGAAGGAGATTAAAGATTGAGAAAAGAATGTGTTGTGGCCCTAATGCGGACAATGGGGAGACTCTGACAGAAAGGATGAGGGGAACCAAGAGGACGGTGTGCCCAGAGGACGGGGTGCCCAGAGGGAGAGGAACCCATAGGGAGAGGAAAGAAACCCAGAGGAAGAGAAGAGGAGCCCAGAGGAAGAAAAGAGGAACCCAGAGGGAGAGGAACCCATATGGAAAGGAAAGAAAACCAGAGGAAGAGGAGAGGAGCCCAGAGGGAGAGGAACCCATATGGAAAGGAAAGAAAACCAGAGGAAGAGGAGAGGAGCCCAGAGGGAGAGGAGAGGAACCCAGAGGGAGAAGAGAGGAATCCAGAGGGAAGGAAAACCAAAAGGGAGGGGAACCCAGAAGGGGGGAGCGGGAGGGAAACTGAGGTTGGATGAAGGAAAAAGATTGGATATGACGAGTAAGGGACTGGGAGAAAGGAGTGGAGGATCTTTGTGCAGTTGCTTGGCACGGACGTTGAAGGAGTGGAGAGGTGAGAGTGGAGCCATGGGTTACAAGGAAGGGGGCGAATGACGTGAAACCATTTCATGTTGCTTTAAGCTTCTGGTTCAAGGTTTAGAATTCCTTTGTTTGCTTCCATCTCCCGTGATCAAAAGCATACGAAGAGTAACTTCCGAAACGGCCGTTACATACACTGAAATGCACTCGCCTTTTCTACAACAACGAGGCTTTCTCAGAGGCCATTGCGGCAATATTTATTTCATAAACCAGCAGAACAGGCATGACAGCACACGCAAAAAAACGAACAAGGAAGCCGCAAATTCACTCACGATACTCTTATTCCAAATCCCTGAATCGACCCATCGGGATTTTCCACCACAATCGTTCTCGGGGCATGTCTGGGAAGCTTCCCGTTCCAATGACCTGGACAGCAACACGTGGCTTCCGCGCAGCACGGCGTCGTCGGCAATCTCCGCGTGGCTCTCGCCGCTGATAGCGTATCGAGCGCTCTGTGACTGTAGCAGAAGGGCGAACGCGTCCGCACGAACGCGGTGTAAGCCGCCGTGCCTTTCCTTGGGGCGAAGCTCGTCCGTCCGACCTTCACCTCCACTTGAATCGCTCCGCACGCGCTTTCCCCGATAATGAATTTCCGCACCAGAGGAAAGAAATGGACGTGCGTTTGGTCGTATTGTCGAATCGCTAGTTCTAGCGGTATCGTAGCGCGACCTAAGGACGTTCTTAACGACGCTGACGCGTAGATCTTGACTATTATATGCGGGAACGGTTTCGTTAGGTTGTCATCATGTGAATTTGAGTCTGCGGGTTCGTCCAAGCGTAGGAGATGGTCAGGAACGGAGAAATCTAGAAGGGTGTCCCAGACGGGATTCGCGTGGCCGTGTTTTACGGGAGGTAGGAATTGGCTGGAGAGAGCGTCGCCGTATGCTGACACGACCGCGCAGGGACTCATTCGCCTGAAGACCTTCGCTTTGTGCAGGTTGTGCGCCGATATGAGCCGTATGGACACCATCGTCGAGCGGGTAGGCTCTTCCTCGTCTGGTCTCATGATCACTGAATTTAAATAGTCACAGGGTTCAGGCTCGACTTTAATACGAGTATTTCGATTTTGGAACAAGAAACGCCTCAACTCAGTTGTACAAGGCCTCTCAGAACCATAACTAAACTCCGCCTCTGAACTGCAAGAACAAGCGTCGTCGGACCAAAAGACCATTGGGAGAATTTCTTGGTTGTTCCGCCGAATGAACATTCCCATGAATTCTGACACAACCAAGAAATTCTCCCAATGGTCTTTGGTCCGACGACGTGAGACCAAGAGGTACGAGGAAGATGGATAGGTGTTGGGTTGGGGAAACAGAGGAATGCCGAGCTGAAGGGAGTTGTTGATCCAACGAATGCCCTCTCTCGAATCCTGAAACGGAACCAGCGATGTGCATGTGGTAGTGGATGTGGTGTGGATGTGTGGATGTGATTTCTTCGCATCTATGCCGTAGGTTGGTGGGTGTTGCCTGGCGGTGGTTGGGAGGGATGGGGTGGGGTGGGGTGGTGTTGTCGATCGTAAAAGTGTATTCCCCTTGGCATGTTTCGCCTGACCGACAGCGGTGCAACGCATTCGGACGCATTCGGATGAGCAAGAGCTGAACATTGCACGACGGGCAGCCTATTAACTTTAATGGTTTATAATAGAGATATTATATTTTCCAAGGCTGAATTAACGGCTGCATGACACGCCATAGACGTATATGTTTACATAACGACTAGTCTTAGTGTGATATATCTTCTGTAGCGTGTTAACCTAGCTTGTGAAGGGCTGGATGGCGGTGAAACCACCTTGACATTTTTGGTGACGGAAATGACTGTCACCGAACTCTGCTGTCACAAGACCAAACCTTGTCCAATCAGCGCGGCCCTCAACCCCGAGATTCTCGTGAAGGTATCTTCTCGGCCTGTACTGGGACAAAAAATCTTCCCCTCCCCTACCACGACGGGTCAAATGGTTCTCGTTTTGCCACGTTGGAGAACTGTGACTGATAAGGTCAGGTCAAGCGGTACGGTAAGGCTGAGATTTTGGGGGAAAGGATCGGACGAACAAGAGCAGTTCCTGTGTGGATGGGGTTTGTGTGACGTGTACACAGAGATGTTGGGACTTGACGGGCAGGAACCTTCGATATTGACAGTCTCGAAACATGAAATACCGAGTAGAATTCACTGTCACTTATTCAAAAAGACACCTTTAAAAGATCTCCACCAACACGTAGTCACCGAAGGCACAAGGAAGAGGAGTCATCAGGGCCCGCTGGCCATAACCCGCGTAGCTCAATAATCCTTCACATCCTGCGTGTTTATGGATATGGCTTCTTGCGTATCGCCACCCGTCATCGCCACACGCGAAAGAGCTGCATTGTCACGTGTCGCTCCACCGCGACATGTCAGATGTGTAGCCAGACAATGTCTGCCCAGGAAACGTCTTACAAGTCATCTGGGGATCGCGGCTTTAGGATATCGCCAATTTTCGTCCCCCTTTTCTAGGTCCGACTCGTTCAGTGGCAGTCCAAGTTCTAGCCTTGTAACGAGGAAACCACATACGCAAGCATTTCCACGTAGCACAGCTCGCATTAGAGCCTCCGCGCAAGTCGCGGAAGATTATGATCTAGGGGTACCGGAAGATGCGGGCTCCGACGAAGATGACGTGGCAAGCGGGGATTGGCTGGATACCGAGACGGGAAGGTTACGCGTGCTTGCATGCATGCAGACGATATACTCTCGGATCACGATTCTAGAGTTCGCGGAAAATCAGGCGGAAAAGGCGTCGGAGGAGAGGGAGCAGGGGGAGGAGGGGGGAGGTGGGGGAGGGAAGGGCGACGCTGACGATCCTTCTCTAGTGCTAGCCGGATCGCGGGTCATGCTATTGGACGACTCGAACAACGTTTCGAGTCTTTACAACAAGTGCGTGCCAGGCCGGGCTATGACAGATTGTCCAGTCAGGTTTAGAGTTCAACCTCGTGGTTTAGGGTTTTTCGACCTCCCCGCTCCTACACATTCCTCCGTGGTACCATTCAATTTCCATTTTCAGCCTTTGAATTACCATCCTCACCGAACCATCCTCCCTCTCACTCCTCCGCTTTCCTTTCTCCCCCATCTGCCTACCCAACCCCACCGAAACTCCTCCTTAGGCGAACTATCTGGACGCGATCCTACTGGGACAACCTGGCGTCGCTGGCCCCGTTATTGTCACACGAGCTTGGCTCTGGCGGGAACGCGCGCCTGCCCGGGCCAGTGGCGTTGCTGGGGCTGGCAGGGGGCTCCGTGGCTCGCATTATAAGAACACAGTGGCCGGAGGTCGGCGTGCAGGCATGGGAGATCGACTTAGTGGTGAGTGAGTGGTGAATGGGAGGCGTAACTGTGAATGCGTGCAGAGGTTTTTCTTAAGTGCCTCGGAGATTGTCTTGTCTCCGTGGCTTGGGATGTGGGAGCGCAGCGCAGTGCTGGCACTTAGCGTGCAGGGGGTGTGGGGAAAATAGAAACGCAAGTGGGTGAGTGCGTGCCGGGAGAGCAATACCAATGAGGGAGGGGAAGCGGGTGGATGAAGGTTGCTGCTGGGGCTAAAAGAGGGCTTCTTTGCCCGTGTTATGAGAACAGAATTGTTGGCTGTTGCAGCCCAGTCGTGGTAGGTCGAAGGTGAGTGCAAGGTGACTTTCGAGTCGATTGAGAAGTCACCTTGTTAGAATGTCACCGAGTGGTGAGTGTGTGCAGGGAAAGCGATAGCAGGAGGTGGATGAGGGGGCTGCTTGATCTGGCGGGGGGCTCTCTGTGGCTCGCACTACCGGAGCAGAGTGGCCGGCGGTATGCAGGCATAGGAGATAGACCTAGTAGTGAGTGGTTATGGCGAGTGACTGAGTAAAACCACTTTTATCTTTCTCTCTCACTCACCCACACACATGTGCGCACTCTCACACACATGCACACACACATGCACACATATCCTGTCACATGCACACACGCATATCCACACACGTTGTGACATATCCACACAAATACACACACCGACACACTCTCATGCACATCACTCACCATACTTCCTTCTTCCCCTGCCCTTCAGGTGGTGGACATGGCTCGTCGCTTCTTCTCCCTCGCCTCCTTGGAGAAGCCCTCCTCCGAGGGAGGCTACCTGCATGTGACTGTCGGCGATGCACTTCTAGCAGCTCCAGTCCCTTCACAAGGCACCAGTTTATCTGCTGAAGCTGTTACTGTAGATCATGCTACTGTAGATGATGCTACAGCCGGGAAGCAGCAGTTCAGTGGCATCATAGTGGATCTCTTCTCAGGTGGTGCCGCCCTCCCCCAGCTATCAGATGAAGCCACCTGGCGGCACCTGAAGAACCACCTGAGCCCTGAAGGCAGGGTGCTGATCAACTGTGGAGGGCCTAGCAGCAGCTTCGGCGAATACCTGAAAGCAAGCTCCGAGCAAAACCAGTCTGCCGAACCAGAAGCAAAGGAGGGGGGTCGAATGGCTGAAATAGCAGCAGCATCCAGGAGTGATCCTGGTATGAGGCGATGTGCCGAGGTGATTGAGGCAATGCGGAAAGTTTTTGACGGGCAGGTGCTGCTTTACTGCACTACTGGGTCGGATCGAAACATTTTCGCACTGACTGGTCCGCCCCCGGATTTTGATGCCTGGGAGGAGAAACTGCCTGAGCAGATCAAAGCGGCAGCTAGAGGCTGGAGCTCCAATGAGGATGTGTACAGTTTATTAGCCTCAAAACTAGTGTAGTAACAGGTAGTGTGTTTTACTAGAGTCGGCTTTAGTGCACGGAGCTGTGTGGCCTGTATCACTGTAATTTATTGCCCAGGCTTTTAGTGTGGTCCACTTATGGTAGCTGCCTTGCCCGTCTCATGATCAATGTGGGCAGGTTACACTGCACCAGCAAGGAATCATCATAACAAAAAAATACACCAGAATGCATATCCATCCCAACCATGCTCTGTCACTACCGCTACCCAGTTCCGAGTTTCCGCCTAATCACCACCTTAGGTCGCTCTGCGCATGCCAGAACAACTGCTCTAGTGCTCTTCTGTGCAACATGATAGGCCAAAACGAGGGAGAAGGCCCTGCTTATGCCTCTGAGTCAGGCTGCTGGTTCGAATGTTTGGAGCCTTTCTGAGTTGGTTCAATGGTTAGAGATGCCACAGATGATGGTGTGTTGGGGTTAGCCAGTCCCAGCAAGAATCCACACATGATGACTGAACCTGCATCCACCTCACAGTCCTGTATTGAAAGTCCTCCATACTCCTTCAGGATGGAAAGCCATTTCTCCTTCCGCAACTCATCCCGTTTTGTGCCAATGGAGAAGAAAAGTACAACTTTCACTCCCATGCGAATGAAATCATTGATTGATGGGAGCAGCCCCGTGTCACCAGAAACGATAACCACAATCGGAAGGTCAAAGAGCCTCCTGAAATCAGGAGCCAGTGTTGAAAGAATCAATAAATACACGAACACATGTGCGGCAGAGAAAAAATTAAGGAGCATACACTTACTGAACCAAGGTATAGCTCCCCTTTACTTTCTTCTGGATTGCGGAGGGGAAGAAGGTACCACGCAGGTCCACGAGCATGGCATCGTCTGCTACATCAACACTAGGTGGGACCACCACGATCTCAATACCGCTGCTCCAGATGTCGCTCCTTTTTCTAAAGGCTGCTAACTTTCCATATGCTCTAAACCGCGACAGGTGTCCGAGAGTAGCCGCGAAGGTTTTCAGCTGGCCAACAAGCTGTGAGGGAGATGCGCCATGTGGGACCGGCAGATTCTCGTAGTCCCAGAAGATTTCAACAAGAGTACCGTGATTTGCAGGGAGATCGAATTTTGCGGAAGCTATTTCGTAACCAGCTTCCTGAGCACGCATGGAGCAGGGTACTCCTTTTTCGTGTGCTCGTTCAAAACACTTCCCCCTGGTCCTAGGAGAACAAGCAACACCGATGCTCATCGTCCTACTAATGAATTTCATTCTGTCTGGAAGTGGCGACAGCACGAAGCTGACTGGCCTACATCCGTGTGAAATAGTTGACAGGATCATACTGCTGTGGTAAGGTAACCTTAATCGCAAAACCAAATCCAGTTAACTAGCAGACTCTGGGTAAATGATTATTCCTGACACCGTCTGTCGAGGTTAGGAGGAATGATACCAAAGACAGCCCGCGTTCAGGTGCAACGAGAGTTTCGATGCATGATGCATCGCTCCACCAGCGTTAAAGCTTTCGTATACATTTGACAGAAGGGGTTCAAAAACTTTTGAAATTTGAAAGTTTGCCTGTGAGACCGTGAGGTGACTTTCTAAACCCAAAACCTGGATGACAAATGTATACTTCAGCTTTAAGACCCTGAGGGTTCTCGCATGCATTCAGCTCGGGTTCGTCAGCGAGTGAGTACTTATAGCATCATGCTGACACCAGCGGTAGTGATCCGATTTACAAAACCGTGACGCTTATCCCGTCGAAAGCCTCCGAGCTACTTCAAGCGAACAACAAACACGTGGAGCCATGCATATAATCTATTGCACGCAACACAACATGAGAGCATGCCGGCCCTCAACCTCTCGGCTACTACTCAATGTTGTTCTTAGTGCTGTCAGGAAGACCGTATCTCGAAATACCCCTAAACTAGGAGTGTCCATCACCACCACCATCCGCAACCATCATTTAGAAATAATTGCGCGACGCGACGTGTTTCACATTTTGCTCAATCCTGTGGACTAACCTCGCACCGCGCTCCCCATTTTTTGATTTCTCTAAATCCCATGGAGCGCAACTTGCTCTACACCAGAAATCATGGTCTGGTCAGTCTGCGTATTTTTTATTCCACAGTTTCGGACCCCTTTTATTTCTTGCTTTTGGGTGAGAAAAAATCTGACGCTATCCATATGCAATAATTGCAACCCCTTTGTGCGAGTTGTCATTTTGGGCAGTTGCATTAAAGCTCAAGGCCCAGATTGCGGGCCGCGCGAGGCAAGTTTAGTAAGGTTGATCGAGTACTGCTTTGCGGGAAATTATACGCGCAGTCACAATTATGGCCGTATTATCACGTTTGGTCACGGGGTTATCACAGACAGTCACAGTACAGTACTTCGCTATCACGCATGATCACAGCGCTATCACGCTTGATCACTCCTCGCCCCGCAGGGTTATCACGTTTGGTCACTCGTTGAAACGCCCGCCAAAAAGTCGAAACTCTCAAATCTACTGTACAGATTCGGGTACTTTTATCTCGCGCGCGTTTTGTCTGTAGTGAAAAACGTGATGTGACTGTCGAGATATACTCGGTCCTTGTTAGGGACCGATGCAGTTTAATGCAGAGTCCGCAAACTATTGTCTGCAGTTATTATTAAAAATAAATAAACTGTACTAATTTGTTGCAAAAGTACCAAAGAAGACCATCAATTCTAAGAAACATCATATCTTATCAATCGATTGTGCGCCTGAGACTGAACTTGTTTTTAGCTTGTTAGCAATGTAGTGAATGAAGTGAACGCCAATAATAAAACTATTCGGAAGAACGGACATACCGTATGTCGAACTACCACAACACAATGTGTTAGACAGTATCAAACTATACAGGTTACAGTTATCAATTATTCATATCGGCATAAGCTTATATTACAAGATGCAATTACACTAAACATGTCCATCATAAATGGGTTTGATTAATTCTAAACAGTTAAATTACACATATCAACCAACGCAATTACGTGTCGTATATGCATTTCCCCGCCTGTAACGTTCAATGGTTTTCCATCTAATATAAGTCAATTGTATGGGTTTCCCACCAGCTAAAGCTATTGTCACTGTGCTAAACATAATTACAATGCTCTCACTGTTTAAATCATTCGACCAAAACCCATGTCTTTGGTTTATGGATGAAATGCACACCATAAACTAATTATATAATCGAAACTGCTACTGCATCGGTCCCTAACAAGGACCGAGTATATTTCGACAGTCACATCACGTTTTTCACTACAGACAAAACGCGCGCGAGATAAAAGTACCCGAATCTGTACAGTAGATTTGAGAGTTTCGACTTTTTGGCGGGCGTTTCAACGAGTGACCAAACGTGATAACCCTGCGGGGCGAGGAGTGATCAAGCGTGATAGCGCTGTGATCATGCGTGATAGCGAAGTACTGTACTGTGACTGTCCGTGATAACCTCGTGACCAAACGTGATAATACGGCCATAATTGTGACTGCGCGTATAATTTCCCCTTTGCGGGGCAAAATGTGGTTACGAAATGTACGAAGCCATCTGATTGTCCAGAACATTTGAGTCAGCGAATGGAACAGGTGGTGCGGGAAACTGGCAAGAGTAATATTTGTGCAATATGGGACTCGCGCAACCAAACCTGAGCGTCCCCTAGGCTTTGCTGAGTCAGCGAATTTTGTTTTGAGTGTGGCGAGAAGCTGGGCGAAACCAAACCCCTACACCCCTCAAACACCTCGACTTTCCTACTCAGCTTTCCCACCACCCAAGGGTCAACTTTAGTAATCCTGAACAATTTGGGCCTTGAGCTTTAACGGTACAAAGTGGTCGTGCTGACAAAATGCGTCAATACTTCAGGGCTAGAATGATTCAAAAAGTACAAAATCGTAGAAACAATTATAGTCTACATTAGGACCAGCCGTAATGAGACCACTGGACTCTTGCATCGGACTAGCATGGACGGTATTTTTCAACCCACAAAATCACAGGCATGTTTAAAGAGGTTTTGCGTTTTGCTTAATGCAATTTCTCAAAAGAATATAGCAATAAAACATAGTATTTCTCTTTAATTGAATCTCGTAGAAGTGTCAAGTCGTATATTACTAAATTCAGTTTCTTTTCCAATTCCAGAAATAATTAAAAAAACTATGTCACATTGAATTCGTATAACGCCTTGCATAACCCTGTAGCCTAAAAAAACAAATAGCTGAACGGTTATTGCGTATTCAGGGTAAACCGTGCCTGGCTAAAGAATGTCTCGTCCAACAAATACGACACAAACTTTGTCGAGAGTGTTTATGCCAATTCGCAAAAGCGCATGTAGAAGTCCATGGGATTTAGAAATATCAAAAATCGGGTAGCGCGGTGCGAGGGTAGTCGACAGGATTGAGCAAAATTCGAGAATCGTCGCGTCGCGCGATTATTTCCATCATTTACTACCCTTCCCTTCTGAGCAAAGACATGAATCATTGGCTCTGTTCGCCCTGCTGAATGAGGCTCTTAGGAGCCAGAAACCAGGATTACGAGGGAGCAATATGCAGAGATTTCAAACCACCATCCATCGAATTCCTCGTTGTCAGTGGTCGGAACAAGCCATGTCGTGAAGTACAGACATACTACCAGCAATAACAACTCTGCCACTTGAATAAACTACAATGTCATGCCTAGTTCACTATCATCCACTCTTCTACGTGACTTTCCAACACATTCAGCAATACCGTAACGACTTCAAATCTTAACATATTTATCGTACGCCACATGAGCCCTAATATTGCAACAACTATTTCAATTCGCATCTAATTTGTATATAAAGTTCCTTTCTAACAATTCCATTAAAAGAACAGTTGGTTGTTCCTGCACTGTCATCCGCTCAACTGCCTCCTGCCACGCTGTCATCACCATCTGTTTGCTCCTCATCCTCAAACTCTGCTGCCGCTTTCACAAGCTCAGCTGACAGGTTCTTCATCTGATGGATCATGGATGGTGTGTGTGGGGCATGGGTGGAAACGACGGGAGAAGGATACCGGGAGAGGGGCACCGGGAGAGACAAGTGGGATATAGGATAGGCTCTTCGCCTTATGAGTGATATGTGGAGGGTGGGGAAAGAGGTGGAAGGGATAAAGAATAACATAGGAAGATATGTGAAGAGATAATCACATGTGAGAACAATGATAAGCATAGGTGAGGTGATAAAGGTAGGTCTTGCGATAAGTACACAGGACATGATATGTCAGCATATCCTGCAGGGCAGGACTACTTATGCATGACAGGTGCAGTGCAGCGCAGAGCCCTGGTGGGAGTAAAACGCTTTATGAGGCGCCTAAAGAATAGGCTAGTCAGCACTCATGCATGACAGGTGGTAGTAAAATGCCTGCACTGTCTGTCAGCCGCAGCAGGCGAGATGAAGACTCTAACGTGACTATTTTGGGTGCAACAGTAGTAAATGTGACTAAACCGAGTGCAGGAATAGTGGAGGCGGCACCACTCACCCCCGGCAGGTGCAGGATGGAGTCATTATGGTAATCAAACGCCTCCACTGTCAGCCGCAGTAGGCGCCTCATCTCCGCACACTCGTCCACCAACACATCAAGCTGTAGTGGAAGGGAGGAAGAGTGGGAAGACGAGGCGAGGGAGAACATGGGAGGCGGAAGGGTGAGGGTTGGGGATTGTGTCCTGGGACGCATTATTCCGAGGGAAAAAAACATCTAACCAGTGTATCAACAGCAGATGTGCGCGTCTCACCGCAATCTATCTAAGAGCTCTCACCTCCTCCTCCGCCTTGCGCAGGTTCTTCCTCACAATCGCATCCTGCTCAAGTCAAGCTTATCGACAGCAATCGTAAGGGACTCACTACAATGCTCTCACCTCCTCCTCTGTCTTGCGCAAGTTCTTCCTCACTATCGCATCCTGCTCCTCCACCACACTCAGCTGGTCCCTCGCCTCTGCCACGTCCATCTCCCTGCAGCCACAGCAAGATGAAAAGGTTCAAATCAGGAACAAGCCCCAAGGAGATGAAGCAGGGGGAGAACGCGGGTCATCCTGCTCCTCCAACCCACCACACTCAGCTGGTCACCCAACCTTCTCAAACTTCCTCACCTCCTCCTCCCAACTCACAGTTGCTCCCGTGGCCGCCTCTTGATGCAAGAACTCCGGCCCCTCTCCCCCACCCATCCTCATCCCACCCCAACCTATCCAACAGAGCTGCATCCCATTCCATACTTCTCAACCGCTACTCACAGCTTCTCCTTCTCCGCCTCCTCGTGGAGGAACTTCGCCTTCAGCATCATAATGTCTCATCCGCACAGCCCACCCTCCCCTGAACCCCCACCCCACGCTCCTCTCAACCGCTACGGCGCTACTCACAGTTTTTCCTTCTCCGCCTCCTGGTGTAGGAACTTCGCCCTCAGCATCATATCATCTTATCTGCACACCCCAGCTTCCTCTCACCATTTCCCCCCACACGCCCAATCTCCCCCACCACACTCACAGTTTCTCTTTCTCCGCCTCCTGGTGGAGGAACTTCGCCTTCAGCATTTGCAACTCGCGCTGCAGCGACGCCGCTAGGTCGCGCTCGTCCTCCGCCTGCGCCTCCGCCACCTCCGCCGCCTCCTCCGCCATGTCCGCGCGCCTCTGCGCCGCCGCCGCGCGCGCGGAAAGATCCTCCGACTTGCGCGCGAGCATGTGGCGGTCGCGCGTGAGGTTCTCCACGACGCGCTGCTGCGCCGCCGCCTCCGCTTTAACTCTCTCCACCTCCGCTTCCGCGCCCCGTAACCTAATCTCTACCTCCGCCTTCTCCGCCACCAGTCGCACAACTTCCTGGTCTTTTTCCGCCGTGCGCCGGCCCCACGATTCCCGCTCCTCCGCCCATTCCGCCAGTATTCTCTCCCGCTGGCATTCTGCTTCCGCGCGGGCGCGCGTTTCCCCTTCCCGCCTCCCTTCCTCCCGCTCCGCCCTCTCGCTCTCGAGCCGCTCTAGCTCCCTCTCGACTTCGGATCGCTCCAGATCGTCTACTCGGTCTAAGAGGAACTCCTTAGCGGCGCTTTCTATAACGAGTCCCGCCGCCGCGAGCCCCGCCGCCTGCTGCCAGCGCGCAACTTCCGCCTCGCTGCGCCTGCGCCTCTCCGCTTCCTCCTCCGCCTCCTCCTCGTCCCTCCAGGCGCGCTCCGCGCATGTGAAGCACGGGTGCTCTTTCTCCCGCTCCGTCTGAAGCTCCCGCCGCAGGTCCACCAGCTGCTGCGCGAGCCCCGCGCGCTCGCGGGAAAACGCCTCGTCTCGTGCGGAGAGAGCCGCGCGGAGGTCGGAAGCTGCGCGCGCGGAAGCGACGGCGGCGCCCCGTTCCAACTCTGAACGCTCCGCCTGCATCTGCGCGCGTAGCTGCGCCTCCGTCTCGCGCGCCAGCGCGTCATTGGAGGAGATCTCCCCGCGAAGGGACTGGCGGAAAAGGGGAAAGAGCAGGGGGAGACTAAGTCACCTCTCATTGGAGAAGATCTCCCCGCAGAGGGACTGGCGGAGAAAGGGGAAGAGCAAGGGGAGAGGTACCGGAGAGAGAGCGAGTGAAAGCACTCACCCCGTGCGCTAAACACTCACATCGTTGTGCGATAAGCAGTCACCTCGTTGTGCGACAAGCACTCACCTCGTTGTGCGATAAGCACTCACCTCGTTGTGCGATAAGCACTCACCTCGTTGTGCGACAAGCACCCACCTCGTTGTGCGAAGCGAGCTCTTTGAGCTGCTGCTGCAGCTGCTCCATCTCCACCCGTCGCCGCTCATATTCCTGCTGGAGCCTGCATCGCACCACAGCGGGAAATGAGTCACATTATAGCGAAGAATGCGTCACGTCATAACGGACAAATTGCATCATAGCGGGGAACACGTGACGTGGTAGAGGGGAAGTCGTCATATTATAGAGGCAAAGGTTTCGTAACATCGGATTCAAAATGCGGAGTCTTTCCCGAATAGAGTCAAAACGTCAGTGTATCGATCGGGCATGCTTGGCGAGAAGACGGCTGGGCACACTCACAATCCATGGCATCGACCAAGCTTTTTATAATCAGCGGCCATCACTCGAAGCACTGCGCGCCATTTCCTCGCCTCCTCCGTCTCCCCGGCTGCCTTGACAGCCGCATTCGCCCTGTCGTGAAACATCGTCTCGTTCCCCGTACGAGGCGATCTTTGACTTCTGTCGTTATTCGCCATGGCGTTGCCTGAACGCAGTGACCGTTGAGGTCTGTCGTTGTACTCCGTGCCGCGTCGACCACCAGAGCTAGTTGTATTGCTATAGTATTCGCGATCGCCGCTGGACTGGAAACCACGGACCTTCTGCTGCTGCGGTCCACTTTGCGAACCAGTGTTACGAGTTACAGCGGGCTCCTCTGAGTCGTAGAAATATAATTTCGACGGACTGTTTATCGAAGGAGACGCCCTAGACCCTGGTGAGGTCCGACTAGGAGGCTGCGCGTTAGGGGAGATTTGCGAGAGCATGACGAGTGCATGTAGTAACAGCACTAGAGGATAATCTAACTTCAAGACGGGAGCTGATGCAGGAACGACAAACTCGAGAATGTCACCAACGAGTACCGAAAGTTGCTAAGAGCGCTTACGTCCCGCGATATTTGCTAGTGGGCGAGAAAGATTAGTAGTAACTCTCTAGGCTCTCGTATTGACCGCGAATCAACATTGCTGAATAACAACCGCGACATTACCAAAACTCGAATGAAAGCCGACCCACGCATCTCCCAGAGGTAGCAGTGGTGCAGGTAACCTCGGCCCCCGCCTGGCTGTAACGCAGCTCCCAATAAACATACGACACGGTGCTAGAGATTTATGATACGGTACAGTACGTTCCTGTTGGATAGTGAGCGGTGATACTGACCTGTATTTCTACTAGGTTTGGAAAAGGGGAACCAGGCGGGGAAGACGCGGGTCTGCCTCCCGCGGGAAGCTCGAAGCGCCGCCTCTTGAAAGTCCCGCGCCTTGCAGCAGAACGGCAGCGCTGATCCGTCCGATTGAGTTTATTATCGGCGGCGAAGCATCTGACGCGCTGAAAGGGACACAAGGATTCGCGGCTGACATTCCAAACATGTGTCAGAAGTTTTTAGCGAGGATGATTGTTCAGCATTCGATCCAATTCCCTTCACAGCGTTATATTCTTTATTACAACTTCACTTATTATGCAAGCCATCGATTGAACAAGATACGAACCAGGACAAGGCATAAATAGGTCCCCTTTTTATCTCAACCCTCTCCGTGTATTTCTTTCTCTCTTACTCAATCTTTCTTCCATTGCCTTTTTCTTTGCTTTCCTCTTCTCAATTGCTGCCTCCCTATCAGCTTTCTTTCTTCGTCTTGCATCTTTCGCAGCTTTTCTCTTGGCCTTGGCCTCCAACCTAGCCTTCTTCGCTGCCATTCTCTCCTCCTTTTCTTTAATAGCAGCTTCTTTTCTGGCCTTACTAAGCTTCTTAGCTGCCTTAGCTGCCGCTACCTCTTCCTTCTTTCTCCTCCTTGATTCCTTGGCAGCTTTCTTCAAAGCCCCCTCTGCTTTCACCTCTGCAACTAGCTGCGCCTTGGCAGTCAACTCTTCTGCACTGGACTCCATGAAGCTTGTGGAAGCAAGTGTCGCAACGCCCGTTCCGCTACTGCTACTGCTGCCACTGCTGCTATTGTTGCTGCTGGCAATGCCGCTGCCGACAACGCTGCTGATTTTCCTTGACGAGCCAGTGCCTTTGTTTACTTTTGTGGCATTCTTGGGATCTGGCACCGAACACACAGCTCCTTCGTCACTCCCGTCTGTGTGGCAAAGAGGGGCAGAGAGATGGGGTCACACAAAGGGGAAGGTTGTTGGAAGGGAGGGAAGGAGGAAGGGAGGGAGGAAGGGCCTTGTCGGCTTATTCATCATTAGAAAAATGGGTGATTAACACGTGTAAGGGCACTCCTGAGGTGTTTGGTAAAAGTCAGAAACCCTCGAGACAAGCACACTTCTGCACCTTCACCAGTGCAGTCCGTGTAATCACAGCCCCATGCGTAATCCTGAAGGAGGAAAATCACTTGGAAAAACGGCTGGACTCATTCACTTCTCCTTCTCCCCCGCACTTACCCTCATGCCATTCCCTCCCCCATGTGATCCAGTGGCCCATGCAACCCACAGGCCCAGCAACTGACTGACCCAGGGCACTCACCACCGCACTCCACCGGCCCGTCACACCACCGCCCCTGCTGCACGCACTGCACGTTCATGCAGCAACCCAGCAACCTGACAAGCACCCAGCAAACAAGAAACTCAGAAACCCAGCAACGCACGAAACCAGGGCGCTCACCAGCGCAATCCACCAGGCCGTCGCACCACCGCCCCTGCTGCACGCACTGCACGCTAGCCTTCACCCTGCAACCCAGCCAGCAACCCAGCAGCTCAACAGCCCAGCAGCAGCCCACCAAGCAATCCAGCCACCAGGAAACCCAGCAACACAGCAAAGCACTAACCCACAACACTCACCAGCACAATCCACCAGGCCGTCGCACCACCGCCCCTGTTGCAGGCACTGGTCTGTTGCAGCCCAGCACCTGAAACGCCCAGCAACCCAGAAACTCAGACACCCAGCAAACCAGCAACGCACTAACCCACAACACTCACCAGCACAATCCACCAGGCCGTCGCACCACCGCCCCTGTTGCAGGCACTGAAAACCATTCTGTGCAACCCAGCAACCCAGCCAGCAACCCTGCCGCACGCACTGCAACTACGCAGCTATCCAGTATCCCACCTTGCCAGCAACCCACTCACCAGCACAGTCCACCAGTCCGTCGCACCACCGCCCCTGCTGCACACACTGCTCCCCATCCGCACACTTCCTCCAGCCCTCCGGACACGCATAGGCTCGGCACAGGTCCGGGTCCTCGTCCTCAGGCTCGGGAGTGGCGAAGCAGTCTGTAACACCGTCGCAGAGGTTACCAGCAGGCGTGCAGTAACCGGTCTTGGGGCATTTCAGCCAACCGGGGGGGCACGGGTGGGGCAAGCAGTTTGCCTCGTCCCAGCCTCCGAGGCAATGCTCCTCCCCGTCACACAAGTCCGTTTCGGATATGCAGTAGGTGGGGTCGAGAGGGCATTCTAACTGTGAAGGACAAACGAGGGGAGACGGGGGAAACAGGATGGTGAATTCGAAGGCAGTTTTCCTCGTCCCAGCCTCCCAAGCAATGCTCCTCCCCATCACAGAGGTCCGTTTCGGATATGCAGTAGGTGGGGTCGAGAGGACATTCTAACTGGTAAGAAAAGGAATGGCCTTTGAAGACCGGCACATGACCAGGGGGGGAAAGGAGCGAGTAAGGGGCATGGGTGGGGCAAGCAGTTTGCCTCGTCAAAGCCTCCCAGGCAATGCTCCTCCTTGTCACAGAGGTCCGTCTCGGATATGCAGTAGGTGGGGTCGAGAGGGCATTCTATCTGGTAAGGGGGCGAATGGGAGGGGAAAACAGGGAAGTAAGAGGAACAAGATGGTGAATTTGCAAGCAGTTTGCCTCGTCCCAGCCTCCCAGGCAGTGCTCCTCCCCGTCACAGAGATCGGTTTCAGAGAACCAGTGGGTGGGGTCAAGAGGGCACTCGGGGGAAGGGAAGGGACGGTATAGGGGGAGTCAGAGCAGGAAGGTAGCTGACAGCACGCGTCCTTGGAATCACCCCTGCACTCCTCCTCGCCCTCATCATTTCCAATTATGCCATGCGTTGTGAACTTATTCCCCGACAATCGCCCTGCCATGCATTGTGAACCCATCCCAGTCCAGGTGCAGCTCAGCACTCACCATCCCTTGTTTCTTTTCTGGCAGTCAGTACCCCTCCTAGTACAACTCGCACTCCTACTCGCCCTCCCATTCTCCACCACACCACACTGTATGTGCGCTGAGAACCAGCAAACACCCGCTCTCACTACCTCACACCCGCTCACACTACCGCACACCCGCTCACGCTACCTCACACCCGCTCACACTACCTCACACCCGCTCACACTACCGCACACCCGCTCACGCTACCTCACACCCGCTCACACTACCTCACACCCGCTCACACTACCGCACACCCGCTCACACTACCGCACACCCGCTCACACTACCGCACACCCGCTCACACTACCCCACACCCGCTCACACTACCTCACACCCGCTCACACTACCGCACACCCGCTCACACTACCTCACACCCGCTCACACTACCGCACACCCGCTCACACTACCTCACACCCGCTCACACTACCTCACACCCGCTCACACTACCTCACACCCGCTCACACTACCTCACACCCGCTCACACTACCTCACACCCGCTCACACTACCTCACACCAGCGCCCGAGGTGCAGCACTCACCATGCCTTGTCGCCGGCAGTACCCCTGCTTGTACAGCTCACTGCACTCCTCCTCGCCATCCCCACTCTGCACATGCACTGGGCACCAGCACACACCAGTGCGCGAGTTGCTGCACTCACCATCCCTTGTCTCTGGCAGTACCCCTGCTTGTACAGCTCACTGCACTCCTCCTCGCCCCTGTCGCTCTCCCCCATTCCAGGGATCACCAGCAAACACCAGAGCATGAGGTGCAGCACTCACCATCCCTTGCCGCCGGCAGTACCCCTCCTTGTACAGCTCGCTGCACTCTGCCTCGCCCTGCCCATTCTCCGCACTGCACATGCAGGGATCACCAGTGCACACGAGTGCACAGCAGGGCAAGAGGTGCACCACTCACCATGCCTTGCCGCTGGCAGTACCCCTGCTTGTACAGCTCGCTGCACTCCTCCTCGCCCCATCGCTCCCCATCAAGCCACACTGCAATCGCAACTATAATCACGCCATGTGTTGCGCACTCTTCCCGCACTCACCATGCCTTGCCGCCCGCAGTACCCCTGCTTGTACAGCTCGCTGCACTCCTCCTCGCCCTCGTCGCTCCCATCGCTGCAATCCTGATTGAAGTCGGAGTAACCCCCTTGCCGCATGCACTGCCCGCCTCCTGGGCATCTGTCCTGCACGAGCAGTACGACACATGGGGGATGGAGGACAGATTGACTCTCATTGTCTCTCGTCCTCTCGCTCGCTCCCATTGCTGCAAAGTCGCAGTAACCCCCTTGCCGCATGCACTGCCCGCCTCCTGGGCATCTGTCCTGCACGAGCAGTACGACACATGGGGGATGGAGGACGGATTGACTCTCGTGGCATCTTGCGCCCTCGCTCGCTCGCCATCGCTGCAGTCCCTGCTGAAGTCACAGTAAAACAAGTGGCCTATCGTGCTCTCATTCACTTGATGTGAGACGGTTTGACTCGCATGGCCTATCGTGCTCTCATTCACTCCCATCGCTGCACTCCCTGTTCAAGTCACCCCCCTTGTCTCATGCACTGCCCGCCTCCTGGACAGTGGACACCTATCCTGTAGGGGACAGTGGCACGTGGGAATGTAAGACGGTTTGACTCGGCCTCTCGTGCTCTCACTCGCTCACTCCCCATCGCTGCAGTTTCTGCTGAAGTCTACCCTCCCCGTCGCATGCACTGCCTGCCTCCCGGGCATCTGTCCTGTGGGGCCAATGCCACAGAGCAAGGGAGGCGGATTTGAACCTCGTGCACTAACTCCCGCCCCGGCAATCCCTGTCGAGGGCATATTGACGTTCACACTCGTTCATGCACTCGTTCACTCCCTTTCCCAGCCGTCCGCTTTCAACTCACAGCAGCATCCCCGTCTCATGCACTGCCTGCATACCGGACACCTATCCTGTTGGCACAATGAAGCTCAGAGCAAGGGACCTGAGTGTGACTCTCATGCACCCACCCGCTCGCTCCGCGGCAGTACCTGTTTAAAGCCAGGGTCTCAAGTAGGAGTATCTGGCGTCAACTGCAAAACACTTGACCCTCCGTTACTCTGTTTGTAGCTGGCGAGCTGACTGGTTGGCCTGGGGAGTAGTGTGCGACACACCCCAGTTTTTGCCCCACAAGCAATTGCAAAACATTCTGCTTTTTACTTGGGACTTTCGGGACTATCGGAAAGTTGCTGGCATTTCAGCTTCGGCCCACACCAACTTCCGTGCCTAAATGGTTCGGACACACACTAACGATTTGTTTCCGCTTCGCAACCTTCGTTTCACCCCTCCTCTAAACTTGGAACTCGCCAACCAATCTCAGTCGACCTCCTACCACCAACTGCAAAACACTCGTTCTACTTGAGACCCTGGCTTTAAGTTGCCCCCCCCCCACCCGCCTCATGCACTGCCTTCCTCCGGAATGCCTATCCTGCACGGGGGAGTCGGTCCATGTTGATTGTACACCCCCGAGCCTCGTGCACCCCGAGCCTCGTGCCGCCCGAGCCTCGTGCCCCCCGAGCCTCGTTCCCCTCGAGCCTCGTGCCCCACAAGCCTCGTACCCCACGAGCCGCGTACCCTCCGAACCTTATGCAGCGCCCCGCTCCTGTCCAGTCAGCACCGACCTTGACGGACCGCGTGAGTAAGGGGAGGAATACTCACCCGTGCTACGCAGAGTATTGAGCGCTGCTGCGAAACAGAGTAAGAATCTGTTTTATGTGAGACTTCTTCACACAGAACAAGAAAACCCGCAATTTGCCCCGCTCCTGCCTTGGTCTCTCACCTTCCCCACGCTGCTGCAGTCGAACGCGTCGCAGAACGTCGCATCCTCGTCGCTCTGGTCGCCGCAGTCCGCGATTCCGTCGCAGAGAAACGCACGATCTACGCACCCCGCCCCGCCCGGACAAGTAGCTCTCCCCCCCGCGCATTGTATCAACTCGCGGCCTCTACTCGACGCAATATTTACTGCACGCGAACGACGCACTAGCGCTGAATCACCTTCATTACGACGCCCTGAGAATTCGAAGATTAAAACTCCGCCAACGTCTCTACGTGGTGGGCTCTGAGTAAACGGCTCTGTAATCCGGCTACTAATAGGAGGTGCGGTCGATTGCTTGTGAGTCGTGTGACCGGTCGACGGGACGCCACTCCGATGGCTGCCCGCCTGTGTAACGGCGAGGTGGAGGAGGAGGATGGGGACCGTTAGGGGAATGACGATGCGGCACCTCGCCGGCGCGGTTCGTCCTGCGGTTCGCGCGGCGGCCATGAGGCTTGAACGCTGTAGTAGAGTTTCCAGATTCGGATTTGAAAGAGCGGACTGTGAACTCATTCGGATTTAACAAATGCTGAAAAAAACGGTGCGTGTTGCCCGCAGCTGAAGCGTTCGACCACGCATCTCGAGCTATTTTATTACGAGGGCGTCATGAGCCGACTAACAACGGCCGAGAATCCTTAAGTCTACGAAGCCGAAAGGACCAGTGGTACGCTGATACGCGCATTCTGTGGTCATCTCAGGTTTGCGTAGTACTGAGTTCAAACTGAAAGTTCAGTGGCGTGAAGCTGGTCAGAGATCGTCGCCGTGCGAGAAATGGGGTGGAAGGGAAAGGTCAATCACGGCGTGTGCTGCGGCGCGGCGCAAGGGAAGGCTGCGACTGTGTTTTCGCTGACGGGTCAGTCTCTGGGTGCCAAACTAGGCGTAGTTAGCACCTCGGATGGGATGGAATTGCGTGAGTTATGTCGGCGCAAATGCGAATTAGTTGGTAGAACTTCCTGCTTCTCCGCGGCGCAACTCGCTTTTGAACGGTCATGTGTGGTACGGAGGTTTATCATGCAGTACAACTCTTTGTCTCCGTGGGCGGGGGAGGGCGTTTCTACGCGCTTCTGTTCATTCATTGATGGAGGGGATTTCGCATCGCTGCTGTTTTATCATGGCGTTTCACCTCCAGCTGTTACTCTGTGATACTGGCATACTGTGATTCAAACAAAGCATGCTCTTCTTCAGGATAATGAAGACTTGTATGATCACAGAGCATTCTAACTACCGTACCATGAGATTAGAATGGCAATGGTTTGGTTGATTTCAAGGCCATTCATAAAGTACGATATAAGACAATTCATTGCCTCATTACCTACAATAAACATAACCATCCCACTTATCTACAATACAACAGAAATCAGTAACTTGAGCGGTCACTTGGTGGTAGCCTTGTTCTTGGCTGCAATCGCTGCCGCCTTTTCAGCCTGCTTCTTCTTCTTTGCCTCAATAGCAGCAGCCTTTTCTGCCTGCTTCCTCTTCTTCTCAGCAATCGCTGCCTCCTTCTCTGCCTGCTGCTTCTTCTTTGCCTCAATAGCCGCCTTCTTCTCAGCTTCCTTTTTCTTCTCAGCCTCGATTGCAGCAGCCTTCTCAGCCTGCTTCCGCTTCTTCTCAGCAATCGCAGCTTCCTTGTCAGCCTGCTGCTTCTTCTTGGCTTCAACAGCCGTCTTCTTCGCAGCAACAGCAGCCTTTTTCTCCTCCTTCGCTCGGATCTTCGCCTCAATCGCCGCGTTCTTTGCCGCCCGCTGCTTCGTCTTCTCCTCTTCTGCCACCCGCTTTGCTTCCATCTTCTGCTTCTTGGCAGCCACGGCTGCCGCCTTTTTCTCCTGAGCCAGCTTCTTCAGCTTCGCTATCTCCTCCTTGCTCAGAACCACCGGGGCGCTGCTGCTGTTGGAAGCACCTGAAACACCACCTGAAGCACCACCTGAGCTGGTCCCAGATCCTCCGGTAGCAGGCGGAGGCGGAGGAAGAGGAGTTGGCACGACACAAACCGCCCCTTCATCGCTCCCATCCAAACAGTTCACAGCGCCATCACACCACCGACTAGCTTCCACACACTGCAACCCATCTGCACACTTCTTCCACCCTGCCGGACACGCATACCCCTGGCAGAAGTCCGGATTTTCATCCTCCTCACCCATTTCCCCCCAGCAATCCGGATTGCCATCGCACAGGCGACCCTTTGCGCAGTAGCCGGTGATGGGGCAGTGGATCTGGCCGGCCTGGCACGTGTGGTCGAAGCAGTCGAGCTCGTCCCACCCGTCGGAGCACTGCTGGATGCTGTCGCACACCTCCTGAGGGCTGATACAGTAGCCTGGGTCATTGGGACACCGCACCTGCAAGGTATTGGGAGTAAAGGATAAGAAGAGAGAGGAGGTGTTGGTTGTCGTCGCACCTGATCGACTCACCAGCCTCTTGGGCTGGCGCAGGTGCTTGTGCTTGTAGTAAGGGTAGCACCGCTGGGGCTCCTCATTGCTGCAGTTAAGACAACTGGAACACTGGGCAACAGGGGCAACACCTGCCTGAAAGGAAGACTCACCAGCCCCTTGGCGGCGCACAGGTCCTTGCGCAGGTCCTTGTAGATGGGGTAGCACTGCTCGGGCTCCTCTGTAGCTGAGACAACTGCTCGGGCAGCAACCACCTGGCAGCAACCACCTGGCAGCAACCACCTGGCAGCAACCACCTGGCAGAAGACAACCTGATCACCTGGCAGCAATGATTGACTCACCAGCCCCTTGGCGGCGCACAGGTCCTTGCGCAGGTCTTTGTAGTAGGGGTAGCACTGCTCGGGCTCCTCGTCGCTGCCATGAGGCAACTACCACACTTGGCAACAGGGGGCAACACCTGTCTGTAAGGAAAACCGCATGGCAGTGGCAATGAGAGACTCACCAGCCCCTTGGCGGCGCACAGGTCCTTGTGCAGGTCCTTGTAGATGGGGTAGCACTGCTCGGGCTCCTCTGTAGCTGAGACAACTGCTCGGGCAGCAACCACCTGGCAGCAACCACCTGGCAGCAACCACCTGGCAGCAACCACCTGGCAGAAGACAACCTGATCACCTGGCAGCAATGATTGACTCACCAATCCCTTGGCGGCGCACAGATCCTTTTGCAGGTCCTTGTAGATGGGGTAGCACTGCTCGGGCTCCTCATCGCTGCCATTAAGGGCGTGTAAAATCGCCGCACCTAAAATTTCGGCCACTAGCCAAATGGCCAAATTGGCGAAAGTAACCCGTTTGCGAGAATCATGAAGACGCTCGCGACCGTCGTTTATTTCGCCAATAAAATACGAAATTGATGGCCGCTTTGAAAGTCGACTCGTATCCGACACCATGTCGACTCCAATTCGGCCAAGTAGTCGACACCGTGAGCGACTATCACGTACGACGTCGCACGGTCTCGCATTACGACTGAATTTTTTTATCCTGTCCAATCAGAGTTTTCGCCGTCAAATGTGCGACCCCGTCGCACATACGTTCCTACTGTAGCAACTGCAAATTTTACAACTTTTTGAAACCGGCCTGGAATTCGGCCCTCAAACCTGTAAAGTTTGCAAATCTGCAAATAGTGGCTGTAAATGTGACGACACGAAGTCGACCAATCCGTCGACTTTCGCGAAAGAAATGTCGACCAGATGGTCGACGTAAAACCGGCCAAAAGCAGATTTCGCATATTTGCGGGGATTTTACACGCCCTAAGACAACAGTAACACCGCTGTGACAGAGTTCAACTCACCAGCCCCTTGGCTTTGCACAGGTCCTTTTGCAAGTCCTTGTAGTATGGATAGCACTGCTCGGGCTCCTCGTCGCTGCCGTCCGTGCAGTCGTTGTTCAGGTCGCAGTAGCCGCTCACCGGCCGGCACTGGTAGCCCTCGCGGCACCACGTCTGGATGGGAAAGGAGAAAGCATAGGGGATAGGAAGGGAAGGGGGAGAGGAGATAAGAGGTGTGAAACGACAGCAGCAGTGCCCGCAGCAGTCGTTGTTGAGATTGCAGAAACGAGCCCACCGGGCGGCACTGGTAGACCTCGCGGCACCACGTCTGGCGGTAGGTGAGATGAATGAGGGGACAGGGTCGGAGGAGATGAGAGATGGTAGATGACAGCAGGCGTGCCCGTGCTCGCGTCCGTGCAGTCGTTGTTTCGGTCGCAGTACGCGCTCTCCAACACGGCATTTGTAGCCCTCACGGCACCGCGTCTGAAATTAGGCGGCGGCACAGGGAGGAGGAAGGGAGATTGGGGGTGTGGAAGGGGAACAAGCTGAGACCGCCAGTCGCTGTTGAGATCGCAGAACGCGATCTCCGTGCGGCATTGATAGTCCTCGCAGCACCACGCCTCGCGGGATGAGAGAGAAGAGGCGGGGAGAGATTGGGCACGTGCTCGTTGCCTCCCCTCCCCCCCCCCCGTCCCGTGCTCCCGTCTTCCGCCTCGCCGACTCACCTTGCCGACGCTGCTGCAGTCGTACGAGAGGCAGAAGTCGTAGCCGTCGTCGCTGCCGTCGTCGCAGTCGAACACGCCGTCGCACAGCTTATCCGCTCGCACGCACCCCGTCCCGCCCGGGCACGGCACGTTCCCGGGCCAGCACTCGCCGTCCGCCTGCGCCGCCGCCGGACGCGGCGCCGAGCACGCGATCAGCAGCGCCGCGGCGACGGCGAATGCCACGGTGACTGCGGGAGACGATCGCGGTGTTATCGCGTTTCGGCCCATGATGATTGCCTGGATCTGATTCAATTCGATCCTTATCGGAGAGTGTACAAATGGCGCCCGTTCCGCTCAGATAGTAGTGAAACCGCCCGCTCTACTAGTACGATGTTGAGAGAGCGGGAGAGTCTGAAGCTTGACTGCGTTCGGGTCTGGTTCACTTAACTCCAGCCGACTTTGCGTCCGTATTTCTCTGTCTCGGTTTCCCCGCGACAAAAAGAAATCGTCAAATCGTACGAGCTTCACTCTCTTGACTTCAGCACAGCTTTCTTACAGGGCAGCCTGCACAAGGAGATCTGGCTGCGCCGCCCACCTGGCTTCACTGGGTCGTTCCCTCCTGCTACCCAGTGGAGTCTCCGGCGGCCAGTCTACGGTCTCCGCCAGGCGCCACGTGAGTGGCACGACACACTGAGGACGACTCTTGTGGCTCTTGGGTTTGCCCCGTCGACTGCTGACCCGTTGCTGTTTCTGCGCACCGACACTTCACTGCCGCCGTTCTACATCCTCGTGTACGTCGACGACTTGGTCTTTGCCACTGCTGACACTGAGGCTCTCGCCCTGGTGAAGTTGGGGCTGCAGAAGAGACACACGTGCACAGACCTGGGTGAGCTGCGCAGCTACCTTGGCTTGCAGATCACCCGGGACAGAGCACGCCGCACCATCACACTGACTCAGTCACACATGGTGCAGCAGGTCCTTCAGCGCTTCGGCTTCACCTGGTCCTCAGCACAGGCCACTCCTCTGGCTACAGGTCACTCGCTCTCAGCTCCACCTTTGGACGAGTCCGTAGAGCCGAGTGGTCCTTACCCAGAGCTAGTGGGCTGCCTCATGTACCTGATGACCTGCACTCGTCCTGACCTCGCGTACCCTCTTGGCCTTCTGGCACGCTACGTGGCTCCTGGTAGGCACCGAAAGGTGCACTGGGATGCTGCGAAGAGGGTACTGCGCTACTTGTGCAGTACATCGGGCATGGGGCTCGTGCTTGGAGGGCGGAGCTCAGTTGTCCTCACTGGGCACTCAGACGCTTCTTGGGTTGACGACCTGGCTACGCAGCAGTCGTCACAGGGTTACACGTTCAGCCTTGGATCTGGCTCTGTTTGCTATCTTGGGCTTGCAACACCACGATGCCTTGCGCGTTGGCGCGCAGTTGCTCGTTGTTGGCAACGGTGACGTAGGTAGCGGGAGCGCGGCTGATGTTCGATATGTCGAACAGATCCCACCATGTGTTGGCCGCAGCAGCTGTTCAGGTACCGGGTGTTGTGGTTGTCAACGTTGTTGTTGCGCAGGAGTAGCGCAAGTCGCGGCGTTACCAGAGTCGCTTTGTAGTTTCTGAAGAATGACGGATCTTCATCCTCCTTCCATCCTACAGGGACGAAGCGCTGATGGTCATGCGGTGGGCTTTCCCGCAGTTGGATTGGCTGGTGCCAGTCTTGCTCGTCTTCGTCGTACGTGTAGTAGTTATCTTCTGTAAGGGGGTTGTTCCACATTTCTTTAGATTGAATGAGCCCGCCGCGAGGTTCTTCCTCTTCGTCTGGTTCAGCAGCGCGTGGGCGACGTCTTGTCGCCATGTTAGCGATTACGTTCCTGGGAGCTCCTGCTTGAGATCCTTGTGTCTGCTGTTGCTGGTGCTGTGCAGGAGGACGAGAGGTCTGATGCTGGGGCTGAGAATGACGAGCGTCTTGTCGGCCGACCCAGTTGTTATGGTGAGTGGAATTCGGGTGGCGATAGTTGGATCGGGATTTGCATCGATCCGTTGAATGTCCGAAGACTTTGCATATTTTGCAGTAATAGCGCCTTGGTTGTCGTCGCTCTTCACGGTTGTCTGTGTAGAAGGTGAGGCGCTCTCGGCGCGGCGCGGAGCTTGTCCTGCTCGAATCCATGTCCTGCTGTTCAGTCAGGAGGGCGGCGCATAGCGCGGCTTCAGAGATAGTTCCTCGTTGTCGGAGTAGCGCTTTGCAGGGCTTCCACTCAGGCCCGAGTCCTTGGAGGATGATGTTGACAAAGATCTCCTCCGAACTGGCGCTTCCATGCTTCGTGATCTGGTCATGGATATTCCGACAGCGGTTAATGTATGTATTTGCCTTCTCCTCGTGCCCCATCTTGGTCTCCATGAGTTGCTGCAGGAGCCTGCTGGCGGTGACTGAATCCTTCGGCTGATATACCTCAACGAGGTGCTTCCAAGCTTCCAGGGCTGGAGCGGTGCTCTCTTTGTAGGAGCGAGTGCCGAGTTGTTCCGCAGGCGTCATATTGCATAGCAGCACACTGTATGCCATGAGGGACTCGCTGAAATTTCGAGCCCTGGCGTCGTCGGTGTCTTCCACCGGTTTAGGATAGGAGCCGTCAAAATAGTGGTAGATCTGCGCTGTTTGTAGGAGGAGCTCAAGCTCAAAACTCCACATTGCCGTCAAATGCGGCGGCTGTCTTATTTTTTCAAACGCTGAGAAAGCGTGCTTGCGCAGAGTTGATGGTTTCGTCACTTGGACGAGGGGCAGTTGTTGTGGATTTGTCCGAGTCGAGGGAGAAGTTGTGCGCGGCTGTATCGCGGCTTTTCGCAGCCGGATGTCCAGGTTGAGCTGGTTGGGAAGAGGTTCCCGCATCGCCTTTGCGCAGTTCTTGGAGGTCTTTCTCCATAGTTGATAGTCGCGAAAACAACTGCTCGAGTGCGGCAGTGCTGATCGTGGTTGTCGCCTCATTTGTCGCAGCCGGGTTGGTTTGCCCTTCGGCCGTTAGATTCGCTTGGCCTCCGGATCCTCCGGCCATCTTGATCTTGGAGCGTGTGCCACTCGCCAGATCTTGGTTCGGCGAATTTTACGGAAGTGAAGTTGCGAAGAATCCCTGAGTAGCTCTGATACCATGTTACAATCCCAAGTGGGACTTAGCGAAGGATCGCTCATGGTTGATCGCAGGGTCATGTTGCAGCGGAAGTAGTGACCCCATGTCAGAGTGAATGTAAATGACTGAGATTGATAATAGCATGCATACATCGAGTTTATATAGGAAATACAAGGAATGCGAAACGACCTAGTCTAGCCATCTCTAAGGGGTACATTCGCTTATTGCAGCGAATTCAAACCGTGCGGCGCGAGAACCCGTTTCAAACCTGTTCCCGCTCTTTTCATTTCAAATGTTTCTGCCTGCATCGGTCTTGGTCAGACGGTTGCTGCGTCGCTTCGACTGTTCTGACTCCTCGACTTCGTACTCGGTAGAGTCGGCTCCTGCAGCATAAAGGAATGCCTTCTCATCAAACTTCATATCGTAACACTATCCTCCCTCACCTTGGTGATAGGGCATCTGCATGTGCTAACTACGTTGTGCTCAAGATGCGAGTCAACAACATCCGGTCTGGAGGAGCTGCTCCCTCCATGAGCTTCGTTTCGACTTACCTTGCTGGCGTGTTTGACGGAATATGAAGATTATGAAGGTCTTGGTTGGGAGAACAACACGAGTACTAGGGGTGGTCGGCTCAAGCGTTACAGCTTCTCTGCATCACTGATTATGGTCCCGGGATCACAGGCCGAAGTTAGGTCTTTCATTAAATACTTCACTCATCAATTCTCAGGCTTGCATTGGGTTGCGTCTCATCCGGAAAATGACAATGCACTTTGCGGGAAGATGAAGAAGTGACCCGTATGGCCATGACCATTTCAAGTTTGTGTGCGAGGCTGCGAGCATTGTGAAGACATCTGCCAAAAGTGCCGCTCCAACATGGGACATAGGGGCTGGGGTGTCGTTGTCGACCTTCTTGTAAATGGCCTGTACATGGTAGCTTTTTTCATACCTGTCAGGGTGTAAGGAAAATTCCTTTTCCTTACTTCGCGTCCCTGCTCAGCGCGTACACCACTGTTCCCGCCAACAGCACCCAACAGTAAGCCGTTACCACTCGCGACACTCGCCTCGACATCACTCCCGCCACTGTTCACGACGCGACCCAACCTCACGGTTCGGTTGGTAACCCGCGCTCCGGACCTCCGCCTCGACACTTCCCAACCTCGGCGCCAGGCCCGTCGCGCACCCCAATTTCCACGCATTACCGTTACCACTGTAGTTTCGCTATATATTCTTCGCTCATGCCTTCGCTCATTGTACTCTTGCTTCGATAGTGCAATTCTCGCTCGCTCACTCAATTGCACTCGTAACACTTGGTATTCAGAGCCTACGATCTCTTCTCGGACCGCACCCACACCTTCGCTTCCCCACTATCTCAATTTTTTGGGGGGGGTAGACGTCCCTCAGCGACACAGCACCGCCGTTCGTAGTGCTCTCTCGTAAGCACGCGCGGCCACGACTGAGGCTCTCGCTGAGCTCGCCCGACACCCCCACCATGGCCGAATTCAATCTCGCGACCTTGACGCAGGAACAGCTCGACCGTCTGGTGCGCCAAGTTGAAGATTCGGCACTCGAAATCGCGACCCTCACGGCGGAACGTGACTCCGCCCGTCAGCAATCAACGGTGAATGCACCGGCTCTATCACAAGCACCCACAAATGCGCCTACGCAATCAGAAGAACCGATCGTCATCTCATCAGGCACACCAACGCAACACGACAGCGTGGGACAGCGCTCAGGTGCAGCCAGTGATAGCGCCGCCCAACCAATGCCTGGCATGGGAGGAAACAGGGTCGCGCCAAGCCCACGGGAGCCTCGCGAAGCCCGTCGGCACGTGGAGTTCGCGGCGACAAGTGGCGAACAGGCCATCATGGCACCAATGCCACTCAAGCCGCAACGCCCGCCCTGCTTCGACCCGAGCCAGCGTGGAGGTCCGACGGTTCAATCGTGGGTCTTCACGATGAACGTCTTCTTCGACGCGAATTACGTCGAGTCGGACGCAGCGAAGATTCGGTACGCCGTTTCGCTGCTGAGGGGCCCTGCCATGGACTGGTGGCGAGTCATCGTGACATCGCCACGCGCCTACGAGCCACCGTCGCAAGAGGAAGAGCCCACGGGTCCAGCTGTCACCTGGAGTTCATTTTGCGAGACCGCCCAATACAGCACGTGGGATGCGTGGT